CTGTGCTTGAAATAAAAGTAGTGATTCAAATGTTGAGAAGGGCAGATAGTAGTCCTTTGTATGGTACCACAACAGAATGCATTGGGAGGAGGTCTGCTTATTTCAGTATCTCCCAGTTTATGGTCTGCCCTGCTTGCAGTGTTGGCGCAGTCAGACGAGAAGTACAAATTGCCGTCAGTCCAGGGAAAAATCTCTCTAATCCAGTCAGGCATTGGCAGTCGGTGTAGGTAAACACTTCTTTTGGCTTGGAGGGAAGTGCAGTAGCCCTGCATTTCTGTGAAGGCACACTGATCTTCATGAGTGTGGAGTGATGCAGAGTGCCTCCACAGCTGGAGGACTCTCTCACCTTCAGAAATTTACCCTAGTTGTTTAGAGGATGTCACCAACAGCAGTGGCAGGAGATGGGGCTAGCACAATCCACTCCTTGTGTGCTTAATCTACGCAGATCACAAATATCTTAATGGGTCTTCTGTCTTCAGAGAAAGGAGGGAAAAGTCTGCTGTCCATTCCGCCACTTGCCACAAGTGAGGCAAGCATCTCTTCTTCCTACTTTTCTGGATGCTTTGCCAGAATGAAGTTTGCTCATTCGTTCATTCTAACTATTTTTGCTCAGTGCAAATAAAATAAAAGTGCACACAGTACCAGAATAATGTTGACACAATAAGAAGTACCCCCTCACCCGGTGTAGCCAATCTTTCCCCACCATGCACTTGTCTCATGCCTGTCGGTGATGCTTGCAGACAAAAGAAGGAGGAGCTGGCACAGAGGATAGCAGAGGAGAGGGCTCGCCGAGAGGAGGAGGCCCAAAAGCAGGAAGCCGAGCGGAAGCAACGAGAAGCAGAACGCGAGCAGGAGAAGGAGGAACAGTTGCGCCATTTGGCAGAGGAAAAGGAGCGGAAAGAAAGAGAGGAGATGGAACAACTGCAGAAGCAGGTACGTTCCAGAGGATTTTCAAATTGCTCTCTAATGATACGGTGCTGATGGCTATAAAATGCTTCTGTAGGATACAGAAACCATGGAAGTTCTTTACGTGAAATTGAGAAATGAAGGCAATTACTGCTTTAGACTTAAATAATACCATCTTAGCTATGCAGATGCAACACTCCTTTTCACCACACGTTGTTGGGTTTCACCACTGGGGGAACCTAGCTTTCTTGGACCTAGTTTAGAAATAGAACACGCTAACCTGGCCTATACGCTGTGCTTGTATATTTGTTGTTCAGCAGTCTTTATAGAATTGGTCTATTTCTAATAAGAGCAGTAAATATGCTGTACACTAGCCTTCCCACTACCCTACCATTCCAGATTCTCATTTTTAACATAGGAAATGAATGTTCTTTCATCTTGCCATTAGTGAGGTTTAAGTATGAGTAAATACGTATAAGATTACACTGTTCATTACTTTAGGACCAAAAGAGGTGTGACTTTAAATCTGTATCTAGCAGATACTTCTTCGCTAACCTCCCTATTTACCCTAGAGTACAGTATACCCCCGTGAAGTCGCGGTTCAGTGTTCACGGCCTCAGTCTTTCGCGGAATTTTCCATGCGGTGGCTTTCTCACAAGGAGATCAGTTTGGACTTGCTCGGAGAAAACAATCTCTGTGTGCGCCTGCCTCGCCACACACGCACCCCCCCCCCGCACCACCTTGGCGGCCCGCACTTATCACCGGCACCAAATTCGCGGTTTTTCACAATGTGTGGGTGCTCTAGGAACACAACCCCTGCGAATTTTGAGGGACTACTGTATATGCAGGAAGCTCAGTCCAGATCAGAAACCTCATCTAGGAGTTAGGTGGGCTTTTAAGATATGGATCAGGACTCTGTGCCTGCTCTGGATAAAGATGACCAAAAGACAAAGCTGCCGGTAAATAATTTAAAGTAATGTGTGCCCTTAGCATCTGAAAGTAGAGGTTGTGAAGGCACAGTTATTGACTGTTTCCTGTCTAAGTCATACTTAGATTAGACCAACTGAATGGAATTCTGTGTCTCTGCCTTTCCTTGAGCTCACTTGGAAAGGGCTGGGGAATCCACATGTTTGCCACTGGAAAGCCAGGTTACATTTCCTGTATGGCTGGCTGAAGAACAGTGCCTGGATCGAATTTGCATTTCCAAAGCACCTGCCCATTCAAAGCAATGAGCCATCAACTTTAACATACAGTATCCTCCATATAAGACATTTCCTCAACCAGTTCTGTCATATGTAGACAAAGCAGGAGGTGTCTAAGTTTTACCTTAAGTAACAGTGGAGGCAGAATTATGTACAACCTGGAAGCCCAATGATCTTCAAAGCTTTTTTGAATTCAATAGAAGAAAATATATAGTTGTTCAGAACTGAATTTAGAATCCACTGGTGTAACCTGAAAGAAAATGGCAGCTGTATTACTGAGGGGTAATGAGAGGGATCATTTAGTGCAGTTAGATTTGCTTTTTATGAGCTACCATGGTACCCAGTTTCCCCAGCCTTGCAAGATTTCAAGTTGCTCGTGCACCCTTCTAGAAGCTGCTTTCAGTTTTGATTTGAGGGTATGTGCAAGGGTTGGTGTTGAGCTAAAAATCCCACAAACCTGCTGCAAACTTTGGTGCACTTCTGGGGTCTTGGTGTGTGTTTTGTGGGCCTGCAGCAATCTAGCACCCAAGTAAAGGATCAGATGAGTTCAAATGTGACAAACAGAGAAGCAGTTGTGGTTAATAGCTCTTTGAAAGTCAATCCACATTTCCCTTTGCTTTGCCATCATTCAGAAAGAAGAGGAAGCTCGGTTACGAGAAGAGCGGATTCGGTTAGAACGTGAAAAGCATTTCCAAAGGGAAGAACAGGAGCGCTTAGAAAGGAAGAAGGTAACTGAAAGGCATAAGTATGTGTCCAACCTGATCTTGCATGCAACCAGCACTTTGCCATTTCTGTAGGTGGTGACTGGGTGTTGAATAGATCAGACTATTCATTCACCTGTGTATACCCAGCTGTGTATGACTATTCAACAAGGCTTATTTACATAAAGAAGAAAACTTGAGCCCTTTTCAGTAGTTGGTTGGCCACTATTTTAACAGAATGCTGAACTAAATCAGTGTCTTGATTCAACGTGACACTGTTCTCATGTTTTTCCAGAACGTCCTGGCTGTGTGCCTAAACCAGCACATGGCATCTCCCTGGGTTCCTCCAGGAACTGCAGCTTCACATCCTGGAAAACATCCCCCTTGAGGAATCCCCACTTCCTATTTCCAGCCAGAGATGAGAGTGGGGATGTAGGTGGTGGAGGATTTTTGCCAGTGTTGAGAGAACTGCCAACTGGCTGGCTCCATGGGGCATGCCGTGTCCCCTTTGGAGACAGGACCTTGGCCTGCACCTACCCAGTGACTTTGCACACCAGTAACCCAGAGGCTCGGCCAGCACCAGGAAGAGCAGGCGCTCTTCCCAAGGCTGGCCAAGTCCCTTTCTTGGTTGTGAGAGGGGAACAGGAGGACAGTGTCAGTCGTATGGCCATGCCTACCGACATCGTCCCAGCTGCAAAGGGCCCCCTGGAATAATGTGGAGGAGAACACTGCCCACTGCCCCCGATCTACCCTTTGGAAAATATCTCCAAAGCAGGGACAGCTGAACTTGCACAGACTCTCACGTTACCAAGAATCCCACACAATCGGTGTCCCGAATGATGGTGAGGCACCACATGTGCACGTGTGTGGCAGGCTTGAACGCTAAAAAGCCAGGCCTGGGTCTCTAGCACTGTAAAATACTTGCTTCACTTGGCATAAAAGTCTAGCTGCTTGCTTACACAGGAGAGATTCAGTTAGGATTCCCTTGACCCCGACAGTCTGTTTTCATGGAACGAAGGAGTTTCACTTTCCACAAAGGACACCCACACTGTGTATCTGCATGACTGAATGTTCCTTATCAGCTTTTACTTCTTCAGGCAAAAGGCAGTAATGAGCCTATGCTCTGACGTCAGAAATCTTGACCAGAAACATGCCTTACTAGCTCACTGCATTTCATTATTTCTTAGCACCTGTGTAAACACTAATATCAAAATCATATATTGTAACTGTGTAGAATGCTATATACACGTATTACATACCATAAGCCTGTAGCCTATACACGCTAGCCCCTTTCTTTGTACTCTGGTTTAGACTGTTTTTCAGGGGGATTCTGCTGACTGAACCCAGCTGATTGGAATCCTAACTTGCAGGGGTCCCCACTGCACGGTGCGAGTGGCTTGCTGCTAAATATATTGGAAGTCTAGCCAGCATTTGATATTATTGCAAAAATGAATAATCTCCCTCGCAAACTTGGGGCTGGTGTGTCACTTTCTGGCAATCCCAGAAATCTATTGCCCTTGCAGGGCAACTGCAGCCCACTCTTCCACAATGGCACGTAGCCCCCTTCCCTTCCTTTCCGGGTGTTTACAACTGCACAGGGCCTGAAAGTGCTCTGAGTGTGCTTCTTGCTCTGTTGCTATTGACGCAAATGTGTCTGTGATGGAGCAGCCACTGGAATGCTGGTGCACATACCAGGCTCCCAAGTACCTGAGATGGGTGGGTGGCTTCTCTGTCTCACAGACTGAGCAGTTCGTATGGGGAGGTGTAGTTAAAACTTGTTGCTGGGCTAGAGTGGCGGGGTGAAGAACACGGAAGGAGACGGGCGGTTCACATCCGCCTGGCTGCCACAGTTGTAACTGCTACCACCTTTTCCGCCTGCTGAGTCCCTGAGACAGAAGCTGTCCATTTCAGGACACTTTGTTGACAGGGCAGGCCAGTTCTCCATAGCTGGAGGAAGAGGGAGAGAAGGTGGCAGTGTCGGGCTACCTGCAGCATGTTCTATTTTATTTTAACTGAAAATGCTCTTCTACTGCCTTTGGAGGCAAAGACACTCTTCAGGGTGGTTCATGAAATAACATTCTGAAATTCTAAAATATAAAATGTCAGCAAATGAAACAGCAACATTAAATACCTAAAAAACCAGAACAGTAAAATTCCTATTATAAAACACCATTAGGTATCTGTACATTTCAGAGCAGGATGGGACATCTGAGGGACCGTTTATAAACTGCCAGGAAATAAAGCCACATGGATGTCTTGGGTGCTTTTTGCTGAGGAAGAGATACTGAGAGTTAACACATTTTTGATGGTCTTTTCGTTGGCCTAATAAGAGTATGACATGGGAATAGTTTTGGGATTTTGCTTATAGACAAAGCAGCCGTTGCTTTTTTCATGATAAATTGTGTTTCTCCTCATTGTTTCTGTAGCGCCTTGAGGAAATTATGAAAAGAACTAGGCGAACGGAAGCTGCAGAAAAAGTATGTATTAAATCTTATCTTCTCTCTGCAGAAAACAATGTGTGTGTTTGCATTCTTTCAGTGCAGCTTCTAATTCAAACTGCTTTATTTTACAGAAATCAAATGAACAACAAAATGGAGATATAGCAAAAGAGTCAGGTATTGCCTTTTGAATTTATCTGGTTTGGTATCAAAACTGTTATTCAGAGAATAATTGAGTAGAAATAGTTTTTAAAAGTTGTAATCCAAATATTCCTAATGTATGTATCAGAGACTGAATTCATGGCAACACATAATATGCTAAAAACATAATAATGTGTAGTGAAATATGCAGTTAGGTTTGGTAGCTTAAAATAAAGCTACCAAAATAATCACTTAAAATAATCAGTGAAAGTGTTATTTAATTACTTAGTTGGGGTCAGTTTTAATCAGTCTGGGCAAAATATTCAGTTTTGTCAGCAACCTCTCCATTTGCATGTCCTCTATGGGAATGATAAAGTCAGTGATTTCCAAGTCTTAATTAAGCTTCTGCAATAAACTATTTCCATTTGCACTTTATAAAATATTAAAATGATGAAAGAGCACAAATGATCTGCTGTGATTTCAGAGTGAAAGAGGGGTGGAAGGAAATAGTTTGTGCTAGACGGATTCACTAATCTGGTATTAGATGTTCAGCTGAAAAACAAAACCTTTTCAGAGTTTAATTGAGGCCAGAGCCCTGAAATCTCTCTGCATTCTTGCCTCATTCTTGGCTTGTGCAATGCATGAAGGAAGTAACATGAGATGCTGTCTATATTAGGCCAGATCATTGGTGCACCTGGTGGGATATTATCTGTATGGACAGGCAGCAGCAATCCAGAGAACTGTCCAGTCCCCCCAGGGACTGCACCTGAGACTGTCTGCATGCCAAGCATTTCATTGGCTGATCAACTGGAATATTTGTAAGCTCCCGCATAGTAGTTGATCTCAGGGCAGACTGCAATAATAAATAACTCGACCTAAAAGCAGGCTATCGTATTGACGAACAGTCTAAGCCAGGGGTCAGCAACCTTTAACACTCAAAGAGCCATTTGGACCCGTTTCCCACACAAAAGAAAACACTGGGAGCCACAAAACCCTTTTGACATCTAAAAGATAACACTTCGTTTATCGTTTTTTACCTTAATGCTATGTATATCTTCATTATGATTTAGCTGCAGCTCTTGTTCAGTCACTAAAAACCGTTATTTTTAATCTTACATTATACACTAGTAGGACTCCTTTCTTATATTTTGAATAGAACAGCTTCCTGCAGAGTCAAAGTCAGTGCTAAAGGGCTGCATGCATTAAACAGCAAACCCCATAAGTTCGTCAGCAGTAAAAGCAAATGAATCTACCCACATACCATTAAACGTTAGTTTTCTTCAGAAACTTTTCTTCGATTTATCCATGGTTGGGGGGGGAAGCTCAGTAAATGGGCATGGGTGGCAGATATAGGGGTGTTTAGTGACTGATTAGCAGATAAACAGTCAAGTGATACAAATTGTGACAGGTCCCAAGAGCAGCTTATAACATTCAGATGAAGGAGATTACATTGGGACAAAGAGAATCTTTTCAGAGGGGTGTTTCGTGTAACATGAGAGCCTGCAGGAAGCTTGTTCCACTCTTTCCCTGCGCAATAGCAGAGGAATGTCACAACTTACTTAACCGGCTAGCGCAGCCTTCCTGAGTGGATGCCTCATCATCACCTATTGGTATTTTGTAACTTGGAGCCTCGGTCGCACATTGGCGGCTGTGCCACGCGTGTTTTGAGCGATGGAGCCACTGCAGAGGGATTCAAGAGCCACGTGTGGCTCTGGAGCCGTGGGTCGCCGACCCCTGGTCTGAGCAAACAAAGAATAACTAAGCTACAGTCCATGCGACTCAAAGGTGTGGCTCTTGACTTGAAATGAGGCCAACAGCAGTGCCAGCTGGACCTCTGGGGGTGCCTTCCATAGGTGAGCCACCTGCTCTGAGAAGGCCTTCTTTTGTGTCTCTATACAACGTGGAGCTCCTAGTGACAGGGTGCAGAGTAAATTTCAGTAGTCCGTAAACTTCAGTACATAGGCAGACTTTGATACAGGGTGAGGTGCATGCTTAGCAGTGAATATTCTTACCTGGAGTATCTAGAATATCAGTGAAGGCAGAGGATCCAGAAACCCTTGCAGTGCAGTGGTTCGGGTGTTGCCCTGAGATATGGGAGATCCTACTCTAGTTCCTGCTCTCCCACATGCTGCATGGCCTTAGGCTAGTCCATGACTCTCAGCCTAACCTACCTCACAGAGTTATTGTGAGGATGAGCTGAAGAGGGGAAGGGCCATGTGAGCTGCCTAGGGTTCTTTGCATGAGGGAAAAAGGCGGGATAGGAATGTAATAATAAATGTGTACAAATCTAGCTCACAGGTAGTTTGAGTTTTTGCATGTTTGTGCAGACACACATTCACACACACATTCTGAGCATATCACTGGACTCAAGTGAACACATTCCTTTGGACAAATATCAAGCAGGCAACCTCCTTTGTTTGTGTCTTTCTCTACCAGCCATCAGCCCCACCTCGGCATTAAGCCCTGCGATGGGCTCTCAGGGTCAGCGTGTCCCAGAATCTCCATGCAACGGCGAAATGGTGGCCCGTACCCATGTGCTCCTTTCTCATCAGCCCACAGCAAATCTGGACAGGTGAGAAATACATTGCTATTTGAAAGCAGAGGTTTGGCAATATCTGATGACTCTTCTTGCTGGAAGTACCTTAAATCATAATTGTTTTTCCTTTTTCCATGTGTGCCTTTCATGGGAGATTTCATCATCTGCTCCATAGCCTCACCCCACCCATCCCCAAAGGAATAATCCGGATAGCATTTAGTGTCAGTCAGCTTAGCTACATTAAAATGTATGGCTCCTAATAAACCAAGTCATATCTGAAAGTCTTGTTTACATCTCTGTAGCTAACAGTGTATTCTTTAAAAATGAATGAGTAATAGAAAGCCATTTTCTCCTTCTGTCTGCACTCAGTCATTATTGGGAGAGGCTGTTTCTGAAGTCACACTGATAGAACAATTGTATAGGCATGAAGACTTCTTTTCAGTGTGCATACATGCTTCTATATGAGCCTCAGCATGCCTCCAGATGTTAAAAAGATATTTTTAATTTCACTAGAATCAGGAAAGAAGACTTTGAAGAGCATCTGTCCTTCCTGGAGGGTTGGCAGTTGGCATTTGCACATCATTCTGGGATGCATGGACTTGGTTAAATCTGTTTTGCCTGTGTTTTGTGGATTTTCAGGTGCCCTTTGTTTCATCTGCTCATTAATGGAATTGGAATTTTTTCAGTTTCCCAAATATGCATTTGTATGCACTTGTCTAAATCTGCCCTTCTGGAAATGCACAACCTCCCCTGCCCCCCCCCCCCCCCCCAAAAAAAAGCATAGCTTTGCACTTCAGCCTATGGCAAGATGTGCATTTTTGTTGGCATTTTATTTGTGGTATTTTTTGTCAGCTAAATTTGCTGGAAAATAAAAATTCCAGAAAGTATGGTCCACAAGTTCATAAAGTCCATGAGACATGGGGGTCGGGTAGGGAGAGCCAGTTTGCTGCAGAATCCATGAATTCGATCATAGAAATCTGAACTTATTTGAATAAGTTTCTGTGATGTCCCTACTCTAGTCTCAAGGAGAACTACACTTTTCACACATGAGCTTGTTTCAGATATAACAGGGAGCCGTGGTTTTCCACCATGAGAATGAACTGTGATGAATCCTTGGCTCATGCACCTGCCACTCCCTCTTCTTTCACACCCATGAGGAAATGGGAAGCTTTCCTTTCTGTTTTGGACTAGCTCCAACTCCCCTATGATGTCTACACACATGAAGTATGGTTTGCTTAAACCATGGTTTGGGAACAACCTTTGTCTAAAACTGTGGTTTGATCCTCACTAAAAAACCACAGTTTCCTGAGTTAGTACTCTATGGGGAACTGCAGTTAGTTTGCAACTGCAAACCAGAGGCTTTTAATCTCCTTGTTACGTCTGAAAGGTAAGGGCAGGATTGGCAGAGTATGTGAGTGTGCAAATGTAATGTCACAGAGCTGTGAACTTATTAGAAATAGCAAAAACATATCTGTTTGAAGTAAAAAAAATTCCTTTTACAGAACACTATAAGCCATAACACAAAGTATACAGCAGTCCTGAGACAAGCTCTGTCTGCAGCACTGGAGTGTTCACCTGCATTTCTAAAACATGAGGTCATAAAAGGTGGCAGAAAAGAACCATTAAAATGTCTGTTATTTCTCTAGCATTGATGCAATTCAGTACTTGAATCTGCCATGACAAATATTTAGTGTCCAGACAGAACATCAGGAAAGCCAAGGGCTTTGAATAAAAAGTGTACAAAAGAGAACACTAGCACTCAAATGGTTTTTTTTAACCCTTTGTTAATATCACTGGCAAGAAAAAAGGATGAAGAAAAATTGTTGGGGTTTTTTTTGTACTTACATTCTTCTGGTTTTTAAAAGATAACTGCCTTTTTCTTTTTTTAAAGTCTGCTACACATATACATAATATATAGAATAGCAAAGTATGGTTTTTACTTAGTGGCACTTAAGGAGACTTGGAATGAAATATTAGCAAATTTGCCCAAAGGACTTTGTTTTGGAGTCGAATGCCAAAGGAGAGAGAAATTCCACTTTGAGTCAGTGTGTGAACGGTATCTTTAGTTTTTTATTTATTTATTTATTTATATCCTGCCTTTTCCTACAAAGGGCTCAAGGCAGCTTACATCATTCTCCTCATCCATTTTATCCCCACAACAACAACCCTGTGAGGTAGGTTGAGCTGAGAGTCTATGACTGGCCCAAAGTCACCCAGTTGGCTCCATGGCTGAGCGGGGACTAGAACCCAGATCGCCTGAGTCCCAGTCCCATGCTCTTAACCACTACACCACGCTGGCTTCCAGAGTTGTGCACTTGTTGTTTGTGTGCATCCTGTGACTCTTCTGGTGTTTGCCCTGGTGACTACATCCCTCTCTTGAACAGCAGCTAGGACATGGCAGCCTTCCCCGCTTATTCCATGAGCAGGCAGCCATGTGAACAGGAAACCGGAATAGCCTCAGATCACATGATAGGGCAGGGAAGTTGCTTCTAGGCAAAGAAAACAAAAGCAAAACAGACTCTCAACTATAGCCCAATCCTACCACCATACCCCTTAAAATAGAAGACTGCACAGTTCACAATGGGAAAGGACTGCCTGCCAAGTTTTGATTGCGCTTCAGATTAATTAGTATGTACCACCTGCTGTTGGTGTTTATCAGTGTGTATATCTGTCTCTTCCAGATGATGTCAATTATAGATCATGTTTTCAAAAACCTGCAAATCATGTAGATGCTGGAGAGTGCTTGCTGGAAAACTTAGAGGGGGGGTTGCCATTAACACAAAGGAAGAATACTTGATACATTTGAATTTACTTAGGAAATTTAAACTCTTCAGTTGTTCAGTTGGTATATAATTCCTCAATTGTCCTGTGTTTACATGTCAACAAGTTGTGATTGGAGGGTATTTGACATGACTTAGGAAAATTGCAGAGTAAAAATAATAAGTTGTTGCTTGTCCAATGTTTTGTTACCACTGAGATACTTTCACGATTCATGTATTTCAGTAATCTCAACCCAGGAAAACATCAAAATGAAAATGGAGTGACTATGCAGGATGAAAATTTTGAAGAGCTCATCAGCTTACCTGTGGGGACAAAACCACCCAGGCTGGATGCCTTGGATAATGATAAGAAAGAAAGCTCTGACATTCCTTTTACTCCCATTTTGGCCTTTGAAGAGACGGGGACGCTAGGGCCATTGCCTCAGGTAGATAATGTTCAAACACATCAAACAGCAGGTAGGTTTGTCTTAGACCTCTTTCAACAGTCTAATTTCTAGCTATTAACTACAAGTTCAGAGCAGGGGAAGAATTGTATACGTTCCAAATTAAACATATATCATGCTTATTAGATCAACCCGCAGCCTAAGGGGAAGGATCAAGACAGCCAGAAACCGGATATTCAGTTTCATTTGACATATAGTTCAATACACCAATCTGAGATTGAAATGAATGAGCCAAAACATTTTGCTCCAAGCACATGCTTTCTCTTTCCTCCCCTCAACTCTGTGTTTCTTAAGGAGCCAATCAGACTGCTTTGACTGGGGGAACGTAAAGTGCTTCAGACAAAGGTTTTGTGTGTGTCCTTGCACTGCCTCATTCATGGAATTTTACAGGGTAGCGGATGCTTTCAACTTCCATTTGCAGTTCTCCCCTTTTTCCCATTGATACTTCCATCCCTTTTTGTTACCAGAAAAAAATCAAGTGAGTGTAAGAATGGAATTGTGTGCAATGCCTTTTGATAGTTAGCGCTAGGAGCCATCCATCTGGAAGCACCCCGGGATGCAAAGGTTGAAGCTCCTATACCTTTCATAAATGCTTTGAAGTAGGAATTCTGGCAGTGCAGCTTTTCTCCTCCTTTCTGACAAGATGTAGCTGTAAAAATGCCCACTTCTAGTCAACAGGTCAAGCCAATCACCCCAGAATGGAACTAGTTCTGCAGTTAACATTTTCCACATGTGGCCTGGATCCTGAGTTGGCCTTTCATGAATGGAAGAGACTACAGTCGAGAAGGGTGGAGCATCAAATTTCAGTAATTCCTCATTCCCCTTACAGTTCCTACAGCCATCTCCTGCATTGCTCCAGAGGGCCCCACAACCTCCTGGAGCAGATTTCAGGAGACATCTTGGGTTAGCAGAGGGAAGGAAGGACTAGCAGACATTGCTTCCTGAAAGTGGAATGTCCCTTGAGCAGAATGCCACCCATGAGAAGATAGGATCCAAAGTACTGTTAACTATATACAACACTCTTTATTGCAGCTTTTTCCTTCCTAGAGATCTGTCCTTTCCACTAATTTGATCTTATTTACTTTTCTTGTAGAAGTTGTTTGATCTCAGCTTATGAATTACCAAAGGCTAAGTAGAAGCCTCTGCAGCCAATGGAGTTCCTTCCATGCCATGAAGGAGTGTTGTACTTTTTGCACTCTTGAATTTTCTAACCATTTCTGGGACATCTTTTTTTCCCCAAAAGACCGTAGTAAAGCCAGCAGAAGAATTTATTGGGAAGAGACTCAGATTAACAGGCTATCAAATATATCTCACCACTAGGAGAATCATGTTTCATATTTAATAAATTGCTTTTATTCAGCAAATTCCTTTGGTTAGCATAATGGATATTTTCTGCATTCAAGTGGATTCTAACAATAACAGCTGATTGGGATTAATGGACCTGTTGGTTTGGCTTTGTTTTGAAGATGAGTGTATGTAAAATCAGCAAAGAATACATTTTACTGATTGAATACTTGAAAAGTAAATGCCCCTCTGCTCTACAAGTAGGGCTACTGGGGTGTTTTTTTTATTTGAACCTGTTGGTTTAAATATTATTGCAGAGAACTCTTAATTATGGGGGCAAAATATAGGCTTCTGTATCAGGTTCTTGTAAATGTAACTTCTACATGAACATTCTGTATATTTAGGCGTCACTACTGTCTTCTTCCATTTTCTTTAAAAAAATAAAGTAACACGGCAGGTTTTAAAATGTGAACAATTGAAAGCATTATTTTTTCATGGATGAAATGAAAACCTGTTGTTATCCTAGATAATGTATTTATTAATTTTGTTCAGTACAAAATAAATCATAGAAAAATGTGGTGAAAACAACACTGCAGACTTGAATTTTCTTAGCTTCCGCTTTCTTAAGGCAATGCAAGGCATAAAACAATGCCTTCTGGATCAATGTGCTCCATTCAGCCCTGTGACTTATCTCCAGACTTGAAACATTAAGGAACAAAGCAGATTGAATGGTCCCCGAGGTTTGTAAAGACTCCTAGCACAACCAGACCAGTTATTTTGGATATCTTACAACAGAATTTGGTGAACTGGTTCAGCTGATCCTATCAGTGGAACTGGGAAAGGGGCAATTCTGTCTCTGGGCATCCTCAAAATCTGCTCCAGAGGACTGAGGGCCTGTCTGGAGCAGGTTTCCAGAAGGCAGAAGGAGAGGGGACCTACAGGGACTGGAACTGTGGGAGAACATCCACTCAGTTAGATTCTGCTCATAATGCTTGGCAGTGCAGGCCAAACTGGGTGGTTGGTAAGCAGGTACTGTAAAGAATTGAAAAAAAATTCCAGGGCTTCTTTCTATTGAGCTACAGGACAGAAGCCTGCCAGGTGTCACACAGCAGATTTGCTTACTGCTAGCCTCCCCAATTCCTGAGCCAATGTGGCCCTTGAGTTAGAAAAGATATCCCACCCCTTTCCAATAGCAATGCCATCTAGGACTGGCTATTCCAGAAGGGAGCAAAGGAAGGTCACCAGTTCAAGGGTGAGCTTCTTGCCTCTTCGCGCCTGAAATCTATTTCCACCATCTGACCGGTTTGTGCTCTCTAGTATCTTGCATCTGCTGTTGCTTGTAGCTTAGCTTTTCTTTAAATTATACACAGCCCTGTTAGAGGTGGCTGTCATTAAATTTGCACTTTGCAGTGCTGCTGAAGCTGGATAATGATGCTATGCCAGTTTAAGTCAAAACGAGTGCTTCTTGCTGATTTCCAGTTCAATAGGCTGTCAGTTACCCATGTAGCAGGGAATCCACCTCCCCAGGGATGTTTGTCATAAAGAGAAGTCAAATGCAAAACATTTCAACTACTGTTATTTACAGGTTGTGTATCATTTCACAGAAAATTATACCAGCTATGTTAGACATTAAGTCAACAATGTTTTCTGAGCAAAAGCAAATTTTAGGAGGAGGAACAAAAACCAGTCAATATTTTAATATTTGATTGTGATACTGCAAAACAAATTATTTTTCTATTTTCTGTGCTTCTTGTACATAGCTACTGTATTTAAATGTCCTAAATATGTAGATCTTTTCTTCTAATCTATATAGAATTAGATGTATCAAATAAAACATTATAAAATATTTCTACTTTTAATAATTTTAGTTGTTGGTGCAGTAGTTGTTACTGTGATTTTGAAAAAATTAATGTTTTCATTTGTCTGTTTGGGGAGTGGGGGAAAAAGGAAACTTCATCTACGTTCATATTACCGTGGAGTGCATCAGAAAGCCAGGTAAGTCAGGGTTTGGATGTGGATTTTAAAAGTCTGAACTATCTTGGCAGTGTAGATGTGAAATATACTTGTTTTCTGCATGGAAGACAGTTCTTCAGTTTTCTTCTTTTCAGTAGGAAGAGTGGAATAAAATAGCTATCGACTCCTGAGTGTGCCAGCATTCAGAAAGGAGGGACAGAATCCGACTGCATTTCAGAAACATCTGCTCTGTTGGAATAAGAGTGGAATGCCCTTGAGGCCAATGTCAAGATCCTTTGTACCAACAAGATATCAATATATGACACAAACACATGCGGGAAATTCCTGGCTGGATACAGCACTTTCCTTGCATGGATAGAAAGGTTATTTTCATCCATGGCAAGCTTCTGTTCCAACAGAGCGTTCCTGCTGGGAAAATAAGGATAGAGGCAGTCCTTGTCAGTCCTCCTTCCCCTGCCCCTCCCTATTCCGCCCACCTGACAAATAGCTTCCAGGGGGTGAGCAGTAGGGGCAACTGAGGGTGGGGGCAAAGAATGTGTGCAAAAAGCAGCAGCAGGAGGCTCCAGCCCCAAGTGCTCAAGTGTGTTCTCTGTTGAATTGTAGCTACAGACTTATCTAAAGAAAAGTATTGCAAGATTCATGGCAGTTGCTATGATTAGGCAGATTGCAAACACAGAGGAAGTTCATTCAAAATGCCTCTCAAACTGGAAGCAAATATTCTCCACCACCAATGGAAGGTCTACTATCAGAGGAAGGGCTTTTTGGAACCAACAGCTAGCATTCATACTTTTCAAACAGATCAAGTATATCCTGCTGCTTTATCCCATTAGTCCTGGGGACAGCTCTAGGTGCAACCAAAAATAATCTGAGCCAATTCTAGCAGAGCTCAGTTTGAATGCCCATAAGGTCCTCCTCCATCTTCTCTTCATTCTTGACTAAATGCCAGCTCCATGGCTTCACCATCAGCCGACTTTCTGCCTTCCCACCCATCCTGTTTTGTTGAAGAGATCTAGAGAACTCTAAAGCTTGGGTGCCATTTTGTATCCTTAGATTGGCCTAATAAAGGGATTGTCCTAATACAAGTTGGTATAATGGAGAACAAAGAAAGGATTTCTTCTTGCTATAAATATGCTTCTCTTTCAAGCACAGTTAGTGCTGTTTATAAAAGATCAGCATATCCAGTAATAAGCTTTTAATGCTTTTTAAAATTAGGGCCAATGTAAAATATACCCACCCTCAATCCACAGTGCCATAAGTTTCCGTATTGTTTCACAATGTTCCTGTCCTCTGATTTACAGCCATAATTGTACTGAATATCCCACTTAATGTTAAAAGTAGTACAGATGAAAATGTTTTAAAGAAAAGGCTGCCCATGTTGCTTCAGATGTACTGGTAACGTGTTCTTGCAAATTTAATTCAAATTCCTTTCAACATCCTTGAGTGTACAGTATTACAGAACTATGTATATTAAATAAAGGAACAGTACAAAGAACTGATGGAGGTGCAGAAACAAGGTCAGGTGCTATAGAGAATATTACTGTGAAATGCTGTGAGCAGACAATACACATCTCTTAAGACATAATGAGGAAAACCCTGTCTGTAGCTGCAGGATCAAACTGAGTTTGCATGCACAGGGAAGGAAAATAAGCCTTTGTTATCCAAATTCATGGTATGCTTTCCAAAACATGGGACAACAAACATCTGGGCAAACTCCAGCTTGCTTCTGAATGAAGTCATGCTAGTTGATTTACTATTGGATTGGTTCACCTGACTGGAGAAGTAAAGCAAGCCACTGGGTTGCATGCTGCTTCGTTATCATAATTACCCTCACCAGGCACAGCATGTTGGATCCTCCAGTAGCAAAGGCAGGTGATGGGAGCTTGGGAGTGCTCCTCGACCCAGAGCTTTCACTGGAAGCTCAGGTAACAGCAGTGGCGAGGAGCGCTTTCCTCCAGCTTCGGCTAATTCATCAGCTGCGCCCCTATCTGGAGAATGACTGCCTTGCGACAGTGACACATGCGTTGGTGACTTCCCGTTTGGACTTCTGTAACGCGCTCTACGTGGGGCTACCCTTGAAGACGGTCCGGATACTTCAATTGGTCCAAAATAGAGCTGCCAGGCTGCTGACGGGGACTGGACGTTATGTTCACATGACTCCAGTTCTCCGTCAGCTTCACTGGCTTCCCATTGAAGTCCGGGCCCAATTCAAGGTGTTGGTTATGACCTATAAAGCCCTAAACGGCTTGGGTCCTAGTTACCTGAAGGAGCGCTTACATCCTTATATGCCCAGCCGCCCCCTGAGATCGGCGGGAGAGGCCCTTCTCCGGGAGCCCTCCATGGAAGAAGTTAGGAGGGTGGTTACTCGGAGGAGGGCTTTCTCAGCGGTGGCGCCTAAGTTATGGAATGCGCTCCCCAGAGAGGTCCGCCTGGCGCCGTCGTTATTTGTTTTTCGGCGCCAGGCGAAGACCTTTTTATTTAAGCAGTATTTTAAATGTTAATATTATTGAATTTTATTTGGCCAGGGCGGCTTGTTTTATAGTGTATGTTTTATATTATATATTTGTATTTTATTGTATGTATTTTAAAATGTTATTTTATTTTTTTGTTGTAAGCCGCCCCGAGGCTTCGGCGAATGGGGCGGCATAAAAATGTTTTAATAAATAAATAAATAAATAAAATGGGTGAGTGGGTTTGCAGGCCACCCTGGAACCCATGGCTTGTTCAGCAGTTGCAGGGTGGTTTGTAAACCGGCCCAGCCACTCTTTCTCATCAGGTTCGACATGACAAGCCTTGCCTGGCAAGGGTGATTATGGTAATGAGGTTGTACGCAACTGACACATGCTAAGTGAGCAAATAAGTCACGGCAGCTTATTTCCCTTACTGATTGTGTGAACCAACTCAATGGAGAACTACCATGACTTGTTTCAGAATAGTCCCATGGAAATGAAACAGAGTTGGTTGCTAGATGCTTTATAAAGCATCAAGGGCCATGTCATGAACTTGGATAGCATACCTAGCTATACCCCTTTCTAAAATGGGCATGTCTTGAGTTCAATTACCCAAATTGTCAAATATATTTATTTGAAATAATATTTTAATTAAACTCTGGAGCAAGGCAGCAACAGAACTCACTGGTCACTTGTGTAAACAAAAACACACAATGAGTAACATATTAGGAGCAGCTAGTGTAACATAGTATGCACACAAATATTTTTTCAGGATTCTTTATTTTTATAAATTTTAAAATAGCACTTGCAAGGCCACACATTATTTGCTATCAGACAGTGGGAAAAATATGTCAACATTCAGTTCTTGAACATCAGAAGAATGCTGTCAACTTGTCAACATTGTGGCAGGCCACATTAGTGTGTTAAAACACCCAAGTTGCATAAAGATACTTGGCTGGTAAAATGAACTCCATGGGAAAAATCTGACTTGTGCAAGAGAACCTTTCCTCCCACCTACTTCAGAGTGCCCCCAACCCTTTGGAGCAGATGTTGAGAGTGCTGGTGGTGAGGTGCTCCTATTTCATTAACTGAAGCGGTTTCATCAGTGGGATGATCAACTGGATACAAACCTAGATACAGGCTTGAGTGAATTGGTTTGCAACTCATAGATGATTGAGCAAGGGCAGGACAAAGCTGCCGTCTGTGCATATGCAGTGATGCTATCATTAGGACCAGTTCACACAGGAAGGATCATTCAAAATAGAGATGCATGTGTGAATCAATCATGCATCAAGCACCAATGATGGAATATCACGTCCAACTCTCCAGATCCTGCTGTAAATCATTAAGAGTTGAATAATAAAGCATTTCTGTGTCTTTAATTTCCACCCAAACTATGGAAATAAGATCCCTGTTAGGTATATTCAGACTGTAGATGAGGCCATAGCAGGATTATAAAGACACTGACATCTTGAATCAGCTGCCTATTCATTATTTATTTCCTTAATTATATTAAAATGCTAGTCCATGCTAACAGTCCCGTAGAACTCTCTAGGGAGATTATTCATAAGCCGGCCACACAGAGCTCTGGATCATCTACAGCAAGATAGGAGAACAGGGTAACAGTGGCTTATGTGTCCATCTGCCGGATCACAATATTGAGAAGCTCTTGTATTTCTTCAGTTTGATGAAGGACTTGATCAAGGTGTTGCTTCAGTTGGCTCTGGCTGAATGATGAGAAAAGCTCTGCATCTGGAGAGGGTAAGAATTCAGCCCGTCATATAAGAAAATACTTCCTTCTAGATCTTCATGACACTGGAAAGATGGGGTTTTCTGACAGCTTGCATTGTTTGGTTCTTGCACAGCTATCAAAGTAACTCAGAACAAGAATGTTCTATTATATTTATTTGAAACACGAGTACTCGAATTGTATTCCTGTCTTGATTTTTTTTACTATCTTCCAAGAGCATGAAAAGATGCATGCATAGCCTTCCTTACCATTCTTTATTTATCTTAACATGTCCTAAAAATCTTGTTTCCTTTAGGAATTCCCTTCCTTGCACAGTCCCACCTTGTTCTACATCCTTACTCTTGATACCTATTGCATTTCCTTTAGGCATAGCCCTTCTTTTAGTGCTGTGATCCAAGTCCTTGCCAGACTAATCTGATCTCATATTTTGATTGGGTAACCTTCTGTTCTGGACTGTAGGAATGTACTGTGTACATAATATATCTTGACTTCAGTAAAGCTTTCGACAAAGTGCCCCATGACATTCCGATAGCAAGCTAGTTAAAATGCAGACAAACAAAAGTTTAGAGGAAGGTAACAAGGATGATCTACGTAGAGACTGGAAACAAAGGAGAGGAGAGATTGAAAGAACGGGGCTTGTTTGGCTTTGAGGAGACTGAGGGGAGATATGATAGCACTTGTCAAATACTTGAAAAGGTGTCACACTGAAGAGGGCCAGGATTGGTTCACATCCATCCAGAATGCAGGACATGGAATAATGAGCTTAAGTTACAGGAAGCCAGATTCCAGTTGGCACACAAGAAAAGCTTTCTGATAGAGCAACATGGCAATGGAACCAATTACCTAGGAAAGTTATGGGCTCTCACACACTTGAAGCATTCAAGGGGCACTTGGACAGCCATCTGTCAGGGATGCTTTAATTTGGAGCCCTGCATTGAGTAGGGGTGTCAGCTGGAAGGCTTTCTTGACCCCTTCCAATGCTACTAAGCTATGAATGTATGATTCCGATCTTCCATCTGAGCCCCAAATTATGCTACCTTGCCCTTTTGATGATACTGTTTGACTCTACTTCCTTCTGTTGTGCAAGTCCCTCAATTTTTTCCCATATATAATGTATGTGTCATGATTCTGCAACATTTTGATTATATCCTTCAAAGATCATCTAAGACATAGGTCCTTGCATTCTTGTTTTGAAGTGACTTCATATCCCAAGTCATGGATTATACTGATTTTTTTAAAAATCAAGTCAGGTTTGGTTGAGACTATACATCTACACTTTTCCTGTTTTTCCACTATGTATTTTTGTTTGTTTTAAACTCCAGAAAAATGACTGGTTTTGTTCTCCCCACCCAGTTTCCTTTCGAAAAAGTGGTCTTAGAGCTATAAATAGATGCTGTTGTTGCCAGGACTTGGACATGTAATTAGAGAACAGATTCAATTCCAGTAGCAAGCTTGTAACAAATACTGCAAACAAGGCTCTACATTTAAAATCTCAGTGAAGTAAGATTCAATTAGCTTTCCATCAGGCCTTTAAAAAGGAGGACTGTGGTTTTTATTACCAGAAGCATTCGGACTTAGCTGTGAATTATAGCACTGGTACTTCTGGTAAGCAGTGATGAGCTTAGCTATTACGCTATAGCACAGGGGACCCGTGAGATTTTATTTGATTCTGGAGTTGAAATTCCATAGACCATACCTTTCTGTAATATGCAGAGAGTAGCTAAGCCCAGCTGCTGAAAGCGATTATCCTGATGGATGAGATACTTCATGAGGTATTGCTCCACCTTGTTCATGTGGAATTTCAACAGAGACACCGCCTCTTCTATTCAATTAATATGGAGAAAGGGAGAATTAAAGAATAGAATACATTGGGCAACATTTTACAAGTGAATTAAATACATCAGATTTCCACAGTTAAATGCCGCTTTCCCTTTCAATGTTAGACCCACATAAAGACATCTCAGTGAAATGAATGGGGCTTAATTTAGACTAGCACTGGACAAAACCCATTGGACACAGCCTTTGTTTACTAATTTGGGAAGCTCTTAATGCCTTTGTATTGGAATTACACACGTGCTGTAGCAGAAAGGGCAAAACTTTGAACTTCAACTAATACCACAAGCTCCATTTTATAAACTAGGAATCATAATGATAAGGCTGAAGTACTTTGGTCACTCTAATACTAAAATAATTGTAAGGATCCACTGTCTAATTTGCAGGTAAGCTGTTCCTTTAAGAGGCAGTTGTCTTGCAGGTTCAACAGAAACATCATGATGCTGGGGCATTTGGAAGTAACCATCTCTTCATACCTTGCCCAGTGATGTGCAAATATTTGAGCACTGTTGAGCTCTAACAGATTTGATTCCATGTAGAAGATCCAACTACAGTGCAAAATGGCTGATACTTTCCTTCTCCTCCCTGCCCGCAGTGTCCACTGTTCTAAGCCATTTCTTCAAACACTCAAATTAGCCTTCAAATGCAACAAAGGGAATATGGTGTTCAGACAAGCATACAAACTGTGATCTTGAAGAAGCTCCAGGCTATGATATGATAAAGTTGGCCATCTTTGCATCAGAACATACATTCTAGGGGAAACAGCCGATCGATTCAGCTGTAATTCACTTACTATAGAAAAGTCTTTAGGAGTTCCAAAGTAGTCTAGGGAACACTGAAGACTAACCTAGAATTAGCAGGATATAAAATAAATAAAATGCACTTGCAATTCAGAATGAAATCTGTCACCCTTCATATCTTTGCAGCCCATTTATCCTCCCCAAGACTTTTCTTGTGAATGGACTTCCACATGAGTGGAGCCAGAGGTCAGACTAGATGGCCTAGGAGACCCCTTCTGACTTGTTCTGTTTCTATGTTTCTATGCCACTTGGTTAACAGGAGTGTGCTGAGAACGTAAATATCAGGCTTCCTCTGTCAATACATACTGTGTTGTGAGATGTGTTTGATCATGAAGGCAGCCTGGAAAGAAGGTTCTGTTTGTTCCACCTGGCCGGCCAGCCTTACTAGGCTGCCTATCAGTGGTTCATCCATCAGTTCCAGCACGTGCACTGCAGCTCCTTCTGAGGGAAGGAAGAGCAGGGAGAAGACAACAAAAATGACTAAATCAACACTGCCAGGATGGTATTACAGGAACTGAAAACATAAACAAAGCCTCCAAATGAGAGAGAAAATGGAGAGGTGTAACCATGTTTAGAAGTATAGGCAGGTGTGAATAGCACTTCCACAGCCATGCTGCTGGGCTCCTTTGCCATCCCCCACTCTGCTCCCTCAGCTCCATACTGCTTACATGAGAACACGTCTGCACCGCGGTGTGTGAACTGGTGCATTTCGGAGGAGCTCAGCCATGTGGGGGCTAGTGCACACCCCCTAGTTAAGTTTAAAAAAGGATGGTGCTGATGGCTACCAGGTAAACTCTGGCCCTAGCACCATTCTTTGTCCTTTCTGTAACATCAGTCTGTCCAGCGGCCTACAGATTTGAAAACCAAAAGCTGGACTATTCTTCTTCTGGTCAGTCAGCAACTCTAGCCCTCTCCTAATAGATGGCCAAATGAAGGGGCCTGCTGCTTTGAGGGCTGATGGCCACAATGGGCGGGGGTGGGCACCTGCCAAGGGCCATGGCCCAGCAGGGGCCTACCGCCGACGGCCCCTGGACTCGCTGCTCCTCTTCACCTCAGCAACCACCTTGCACCTGCTCAGGCCCAGAGAGCAGTTCTGGCAAGCAAGACCAGTACATGCTGCAGCCCCCTTGCACCGACCCCTGAGCAAGGAAGCAGGCAGCAGCAATAAAGCCGGCGATCAACGGCAGCTGGTAAGAATGGTGGTGAGAGGGAGGCTCTCCAAGAGGTGAAGCCCATGGAAAGAGTCATGCCCAACGGCCCCCAAAAGCTGGAGTGAGCACTGGGTGTTGCCACGAAACGTTAAGGATGTTCACACGGTCTTTGTATATCTGAAGATGCTGAAAGGGAAGCAGGGTTGCACCTGCTGGGCCCACTGCCAGTGTGACCGTCTCCTCCGTCCACAGCACTGGCTGAAAAGTGGAGCCTAAACTGAACACAGGCCCCTACACACACACTGCATCCTCTGCAGACGCAGCACCAAATGCATGGATCATATTCCACAATTCCCACGCTGCCCCGCTCAAGTATTCACTGAGTGCATGGAAGGTCTTTGTGCCAAGGACTTTTGTATTATGTTCTTGGCACAAAAACTTGGCTACTTGCCTGACTCCTATGCACTGGCTTCTCCTGCCTAGAAATGGGATAGATAGCATTTGTAACTTAAGCATTCAGTTACAGCACCATCCAACACGTTTAGATGGAAAACGGTCCTACCACGGCATGGTAGCTGGGGAATCCTGGGCATTGAAGGGCTTTTCGATGTCTAAACATGCATAGGTTTGTGCCTTGCTGGCAAAATTCTGATTGGGTTCACTGCACCTAAAATTGGTGCATGTGGAGTTTCATTCCAAAGCAACTGAGTTGCCTGAGCAAACAGTAGGGTATCACAGAATGGAAAACCTGGAGATTTTGATATTCATATCCCTACCCTTTTGTTCCTCAAGGACTACAGAGTTGCTTCCAATAATCAGCATAAAAAGATTTAGTGCAGGTGATTAAAAAGAGCAGCATTAAAATCAATCAGTACCTAATGGGTCCCAAACATAGCCTAGAGATTGAAAGCCCCTTACCGTGTTTTACCAGTTCGGTGAGACAAGATATCACACAAAGAAGAGATTCCTCTCCTAACAAGTTGCCTCTGTGGACAGCTTGAAGAAGTCCTCTGATGCATGGACTTTCTGTGAGTCTCTGTACATAACACAGAAGAGATAATGAGTCATGCTTCTGAAGTGGCTTACAGAACTTGCAGCAAGCCTCCAAAAACTAGCATAGCAAACCGAAATGAATGATACAGAGCTGGGGGAATTCTGTATAAATGCTTTTCTTCAGTGTTAGATGCCTCCCAGTGGATGCTGCAGTTATTTCAGAACTTCCTACATGCCAGCTGATCCAAAACACAACCAGCATGAGAGCGAATGGCACAGAGGAGGGATGGAGGTGAATCTCATGCAGGCACATCTGTGTGTCTGGCTGGATCTTGATGTTCAGCCTCATGCTGGGTCACAAGGAGATGGTTTGCTTTAGCATAAAGGTAGTGTTCCCCAACCTGGTGCCATCCAGAAGTGTTACCATTTCAGCTCCCAGAAGCTCCCACGAACATGGTAAGTGGTCAGGAATGCTGGGAGTTAAAAGTCGAAAATATCTGGTAATGCGCTTTCCGCCTGTCCCTGCCTTGTCATGCAATAGAATGGGACCACCGGACTCTCCAACCTGGTGGGGGGCGGGCATGCCCGGGCACATCTCCCTGCCCCACCCACTCCATCCCCTGCTGCAGTTTCCATTCAAACTGGGAGCTTTTGCATCAGTTACCCTAAGCTGACTTACACCCCATGTGCTTCCAGTAACACCTTCACTCAATTTTTATACCTGATCTTAGAGTTTTTGTCCTGACTGATGAATAACTTTGTATGTTTTTATTAACGATCTTAACTAAAATAGACATAAGTGCATGTTTATTATTGTAAGAGCAAGGTGATCATGGGAGGATCTTACAGATGAAAGAGATCTTTGCTTATCCTGCTTTCAGACAATATATTTAGGGTGCAATCCTGTTCATGTTTAGACAGAAGAAAGTCCTATAATTCCCATCATTCTCCAGCCAGGAAGAAGATGGCTTAAAGAACAGATTGTACTCAGAGCTGAGGAGAAAAAGGTGTGCATGGAGGCAAGAATCTACACATGGATCCCCTGCTGAGCAAGAGAGTCATAATTAGACCTGGATGCTGCACCTGCAGGATTCCCTGATTGTGTGTGGATACAAGCAGGAGTTTATATGGGAAAGACATACAGGCAGGGTGGGTAAAGATGTCTTGTGGTTGCCTTGTGAGATGACATATCCACATACATCCCCAAGAGGCACGACGCTTGGTTATTACCTCTGCGAAATCTGTTAGAACAGCAGATTGCGGCATAGGACCACCCCTGTGTTGAAACTGTGCTTTAGGCAAATGGTTTCAGCCAAAAAGGGCTTTTGATGTTCTGGGAAAGAGTGGGGGTGTGAAGAGACTTAAAGTTTATAGTGGAAAATGTGTGTCTTCCTTCAGTTATGAACTATGAAAAGATAAAGACATGATGAGGCCAAATTTAAAAACCAAGGTGAAGGCATAAAACTCACAGGTGGTCTTTCTGGGCAGCAGGTGGATACAAATTGCTAGTAATGAAAGTTTTTCTTGTTCAGCCACACAGACTTTCTTGGACAAGAACCAACAGACACTAGGTATTTTCTGGTAATCTAACTCAACTAGATGACCAGTGAAATGAAGCCTTGAGAATAATGTGTAATCCTGGAAGGGAAACAACTTGGCACTCACCTGGATGTTTTGGGAATGGGTTAGATTTTTGATGAAGCAGGCAGCATGCCCGATGATCACTGGACCTGTTTTCCAGGTAAGCAGCACCTTTCCCAAAGTCTGCAGCACCTCATCACAGATCAATATATTTGGCTAAGGACAAGACAGCACATTAGTCACTGCAAACAGAAAGACAGTGGGAAAGGCAAAAGTAGTCACATGTCTCTGGCACAATGACTGGGATTAACCCAAGACTTGAGAGGGCTGTCATAATATGGTGAATTGCTGCTAATTCCTTACAAGAGCTAGGCAAGCCAGCGCATCCCAAACTGTTCTGGACTGTAATTCCTGAGCATTGCCCATGAGGGGTGGGTGGAGAGCAGCTTTACTGCATTTGTCAGTGCAGAAGCACTCCCTTGCCACATCTTTTAAACAGTTCAACAGGCACACAGGTGACTGGAGCGCATCCTCTCCAAGTCTCTCCGCCTTCAGCATGAATCCTCTCCAACCTTACCTCTCCTGTTTTAACTGTGATGCAGGATTACGTGTGAACTCACATTATCCATGGCTAAGGGTCATCAGTTACCTTTTAACCAAGGATTTCTAGCAACAGTTTGAAGAAGCTTAGTTAGATCCTGAGGAAGCTTAATTAACGTTAACAGCAGCTGATGTTGGTGCTGCCTTTTAATCCTGGATCCCACTTAAGGTAATTAGAAGGTAATTTGCACTGTAGTGAGGAAGTGCTTAGGAGGGTGCACACAGCCAGTCAAACCAGGGTTAGCAATTCTTGTACAACCATGGACACATCTGGAAATCTGAGAAAAATGTCCAGGGCACCATCACAAAGAGGTTGCCATGGAAGGTATGACTAGTCACGAAGACATGTAGCCAAGAGGCACTTGTAGGAAATGAAAATGACATTGTGCTCGTTTCTTGCTAGGATAATCTGTGGTCAGTCCTTTTCCTTCCATTCTTACATTAGCCCATAGTGATCTCCTTTATTAAGGCAGCTTCTACTGTTCCATTCCTATTGTAAATTAATTCTTCCCTACTTTGTTTCACTAGTCCTTTCCTGGACTTTTAATGTGACTTTCTTGGAATATAGACTTGATGGCCAGAGAATAATCCTTTCAGCTCTACAGCATTTGAAATTTTACCTATGCAGCATCAATTTAGTAGTGGTGGAAACAGTATAGAAGTAAAATAAAAGTGGATGCCAATCACTGATGGCAGGTCAATAGATATGTACGTGGCAAAGGAGCTGGTTCTGCTTCTTGCAGGACTCCAACCAGTCTAATGTAGGCAACTGCCTTTTCTTATTACTGGTGCAGCTCATGGCAACTAGGGAAGTCCGGCCTCTGCTGACAGTGACATCGGCCCAGGATGTAACATTCGTGTGCATCCATTGGCATATGCAGGGTGTGGTTTTCATGTCCCACCATGAACTTCCCATGTTCCGCTTCCATCCATGCATTGATTACTGTTTCTGACTGTATGGAAACTGGGCGGGCTAGCATGTCACGAACTCAGGGTGTGTGGGTGGGGACACATCTCCAAATGTGATTGATGCTAATGGCTACTGTATTCTTCACAGTCAGGTAGATATACTTCATTCCAGTTGGAATTAGGGAATGTTGTGAAAGAACAAAGGTGGAATGAAGTTATTCCTAACATGAGACCTAGAGAAGATGATTTCTTCCTCCCTGTGAACCGTGGGTTGCATTAGCAGCAGCTGAAGCCTTTGTTCTCCCTAGCTGGAAAGGTTAGCTTTGCCCAGCAGTTTGTTTCCCTGCAGCTGTTCCTGTGAAAAACTTTTGCTACATTGGTTGGAATGGAAATCAGAACAGAAGGGAAAGCCTTGAAAAGGTTTGAAAAAACAGGCTGGAGTATGAAAGGCTAACAAAGGAGCAAGCACTTATCTGAACAAACCAGGACAACCTGATCCTCCAATAGAAGGCAACATATGCCCTTCTACTGAGTACTAATTGTTCCAGTTCTTCTCTGTCATAGAACTCTTTCTTCATTGCTGCAAGTAGTGAAAGTGACGGCAATACTTGCTAAATAAGGTGACTCTTGAGATGGCAATAAGCAAGCAGATACAATCAGAGTCTATTCCTAGCTTCCTTTTCCCAGAAGTATTTCTGGCTGTACGGTTCTTTCCTGAGGTACAAGATGCTGGAAGACTTTGTTCAGTGCTGGAGTCATGGACCTTGAAGGCAGAGGGTGGGCTCTATCTGGGTGCCTACTGCCTCATTCAGGAATTATTTCTGTGGAGGGTCCTGGAACGCAGGGAGCAGCAAGAGGGTCCCATGTGCCAGCCCTGCCCGCCATGTCCGACGTCCCTGTGCAGAGGGCAGATGTCCACAGGGGGCTCCTGCTCACATTCCCTTGGGCAAAAGCAGGGCTTCCAGTCCTGAAGAGGCTTCTGCATGCATTCACACGAGTGTGGGCTGGCACCTCCTGCTGGCCTCCCTGCTCAGCCCTGGGAAGCTGGGGGCTTAAGAGGCAAGGCAGCACACACAAGTACGTGTGGAGCGGGCTTCTGCCCATTCAGAGCCCCCGAAAGCCCAGAGAAGCAGTAGGGACCGCCAGTGTCCTCTCTCAACAGGCCAGTAGCAAAAGGCAACTGGATCCATCTAGCTGGATCCAAATACCTGCCCTAATCAACCAAGCATCCAGACTACACTTCTGCTTGCAGGAGCTCAGTGTTTATCCTCAGAATAACCCTGTGAGGGAGGTTAGGCTGGGGGACAGCGAGTGGCCCCAGTCTTCACACAAGTATTAGGAGTGCACTTTCTAATGGGACTGGCAAGGCTTCGGCTGCTATTCTTCTATGGTGCAGTCCTAAAGACACTTACAGCTACTAATGATTCCTGAACAGATCTTCTATCATATATACTGTGTTGAGCAAAGTAGCATCACATTTGCTTTTAGGTTCTCCTATACTCAGGTGGTTGCATGTTTAATATGGGAAGGAGAGTCAGGCTACAATCCTGTGCGCACCGGTTTGGGAGTGAGCCCCACCGTACAAGCTGGGACTTGCCTCCAAGAAGCCATGCATGAGCTCAGCTCCAGGGCTCACCTGGTCTGCGGCAGGGGCTCATCGGTGTTCCTCTAGTCTACAGCCAAAGCGGCTCACAGGCACAGCTCACCTGCTCTTCGTTTTCCAGCAAGGGCCAGTCACCAGTCTCTGGGCAGCCACAAGCAGGGCATCCTCCCCTGCTGGTCTCTCCTGTACTGCCCGCTGTGGGCCCTTCAGTTCTGGAAGCCTTCATGGGGCCTCAGGAACCTGGAATCCATTCTGCAGTCCTGTAACTTTAGACTGACTGACTGACCGACTTATTTAGAGTATTTGTATGCCGTCCTTTCGCATAGCCTCAGGACGGCTTACATAAATAAGACTTGGGCCTTAAAGGGGTGGCAAGGGGCTCTTTAGCTGCCAACAAGTACTACTTCCCTCAATATAAAGCGTAACCATCTCTGCTATGCTTGAGCCTCTCCCGCTCATTCTGCAGAGTGGAGCTCTGGGCTTCTGCCCCAGAAACTTGCCCTGGTGACAACAGAGGTGAGGCATGCAAGATGTGGACGTCTTCATTCCAGCTCTGCTCTTCTTGGGTGCTTTGTGAAAAATATCGAGGCTGTTGGGGTGCTGAACTTTACTGCCCTTGGGCGCCTAGTATACCGCCGAGTTCACAGTTTCTGGGGGGTCATGCCCATAACATCTACAGACTGTTCTGCCACACCTCTTGCACTAGAGCATCGAACGCCAGTAGTACCAAGAAACAGACATGCGTACCTGGTTGGCTGGGTGCTGCGATAACATCCGGAGGAGAATGATGGAGTTCTGCTGAATCTCCGTATGGTCAGATGCCAGCAGAGGAAGGAGGTGGGGCAGGCCATGCACCGCAATGATGCTGGTCTGAACACACTCTGTTTGGGAAAGGAAATGGCAGCAAAAACATGCATGTGCGACGTGAGAGGGACATTTTGCAGAATGTGCTTGTGAGAGAAAAGTGCTTCATTTAGACTGGATGAAACACGTTAGTTCAGCTAGACCTGAGAGCCCAGAGAGTGAGCCAAGACCCATGTCTCAGCCAAGTCATCCACCTCAAAGCTGACTGTTTTGTTCTGGCTATATTTGAGGTTCAGGGGCAATAGTATGCTACAGCAGTATGGACAGCTGGGCTTTGTGTTTAATGGAGACTCAGAAGAAGATCAAGACCAGACTAGGCCATGTTGTCACTGTTGGCTCTGGACGGCATTTAGAGCCCCTGAGAGGGCATTTTTGATGTTCTTAGGGGACTGCTAGATCCCTAAGATGTTCTAGAGCCCTTCCATACTGAGAGAGGGGCAGCAATTACCTCCTGGTCTGGTGTTGCCACAAGGGCTGATGGCTTTTTGCTGTCTGCATGTTTCTCCACACTTCATGGGACTTCATGCAGCAGAGCTGGCTTCACATTACTGGCACTTCACATTACTTACCAGAGACAAGGGGCAGAAGAAAGCGTATTCGAGGGACCAGGCCCATGCTTCTGATAAAAGAACCTTCAAGGGTTCTGCATACAAATTCTAACTCAGAATCTGTAAATTGCAATATGGTCAATATTCCTTCTGTGTTTGAAAGCCAGACCCCCATTGCTAAGACTCTTAACTGCAACCAATTATTCTGACTTGGATGTCCTCCAAGTAACCAGCAGATGGAGTTAGAACCTTTAGAAAGGGAAAAGATACACCGGAGAAGAAGCGGGTGCAAAAGATAAGATTTGTTAAAAGGCATTGCCGGCTGGGTGGCACAATTCTCATTTGCAAGCAGGCAGCTTTGAGAGTCCAGAAAGTGAGGCAAGAACCAATTAGGAGAGTAAGTACCCGGAGGAGGGCTTTCTCTGCGGTGGCGCCCAACCTATGGAATTCACTCCCCAAAGAGGTCCGCCTGGCACCGTCGTTACTGGTTTTTCGGCGCCAGGTAAAGACCTTTTTATTTAAACATCATTTCAATTGTTAAAACATATGATCTGGCCTGGGCAACTTCTTCTTCCTTCTCTTTCTCCTCCTATATTTTTATTTTATACTGATAATTTTAATTTTGTATTTGTAAATCAATGTATTTTTTGTATTGTTATATTTAATGGTAATTTATTATGTACTATTGTATTTCAATGTATTTTATCATGTTGTAAGCCGCCCCGAGGTTTCGGCAAGGGGCGGCATAGAAATGTTATAATAATAATAATAATAATAATAATAATAATAATAATAATAATTTCTCAGCCATTTCATCCACCTCAACATTGGCTGTTTCATTTTAGTCAAATTTAGTCAGGTGAAATTATTTGGTGAGGATTGTGGTTTCCCCATTGCTCTGAATTTTTCTTAGCTTTGTTGTTGTTCTTGTTCTAGAGCAGCTAGTAGGCATAAGTGACTGACTACAGCTCTATATTAGAGAACCACACATTCTTAACTTGTAAAATATCTTCATTTGAATTTAGTTTTGTACATATAATTGAGGGACATCAGGAATGTTAAAAGGGAGCGTGTATTAGTGCTTCAAACCCCTAATTAATAGATATGTCCAAGCTGCAGTGTGCGATTTGGAATTAATGACAGTATAAATAATTTTGTTCTGAGAATATTCATTATGAAAATACAACAGGTAGTAGGTTTTCACCAATCTATGTCCTCTGGGGCTTTTTCCCCCTTGTCTAGGTGGTAGGATCCCCCAACCTGATAAAGCACGGTATTCCATAATGTTTGTAGCAGAAATGTGTTTTGAGCATTATAACATATTGACCAGTTTAAAGTTTACTGTTCTTCACCATGAGCTAGGTATTTTTCTGAATGCTGGAGTAAGCATTTTAAGCGGTCACCTTCTGCATCTGAATAACTGGATGATCTTTTGCTGGTATACTTAGAAAAGTAGGGCTGCCATTCTCTGCCTGCCTGACATGATGCATTCTGCTGTCCTGAGCACTGAAGAGCTTATTAAACAGAAAAGGTGCTGTCACAACAGGCATGCCTGAAATGAAAATATTATATTCTTCTAATTTAATTGGATGATGAATGAACCATGGACATTCTTTCCAGAGGCTACACAGTACAAAGTACCATGGAGGGGAAAAAAACCTTTCCATTTCTGTGTGCATGTGACTATTTAGGTGCCTGCTGGCAAATTTTCATGCAGTAACACACAAATTATATACTTACCACTTGTGGCTAAATTCCTGAGACAAATGCAAGCCTGGTTGCAAACCTGGTTACAAAAAGAAACAAATCAGAAGGCAAGAGAAACTGTTCTCAACTGCAAAAATAGCATGCAAGTTGCAAAGTTCACTGGTTCCTATTTGTTTCTTTCACTGCTTTCTCTGAGATTTTCTCCAGGAGACGTTTGTCATGCTTGTTCATGGGTTCTTTAGACAGCCCATAACACTCTCACCCCTGCCAGTAGGCAGTATCCATCCATCAGGGGCACAGTATCTCTGCGGATTCACTTCTATGCCTGGTCCCTCCCTCCAATTCTTTTGCATAAGCAGGACCCACTACATCCACAACTGAGCCTTAGCACTCCCTAGAGGAGGCCTTGAAATTAGTGAACACACATTTCTGGATCGGGACAGGTTAGCTCATCAGACCTGTTCTAGAAAGCAGAGTTCCTGCTTCTTCCTGGAAGTGTCAAGCGTCCATTGCACCAGAGGTGAGCACTGCTTGCAGAAAAGAGTCTGCTGGGTCAGCAGCCCATTGAGTACTGATCAACCAAAGATAAGAGTTTGCCATCTTGGAGATCCAAGGAAGTTTTCATATTCAACCATCTTCTGGGCTGCACATGTCACATATCCCCATCCCAAGTTAAGCATATTTCTAATTATTTTGCCCAACACAAAAATTAGATATTTAGGTTGTAGTGCAAAGCATGTTTACTTGGAAATAAGTCCCACTGGAAATCAAAATCATGTTTCTGAATAAACTGGCTTCTAGCTGGCTTTAGGAAAAATGCAGACAATGGTCAGTAACATCCTCCCCACCAGTTCCATACAGTCCACCGCTTTACCTTGTCCACAGATGAGTTCAGGAGAGAAAGGAGTGTCCGTAGAAGAAACCTGTCACCGATCTGAAGCATGGCTTCATGGTGCTGAGCGTTTGTGGCCATGTTGCTTAGAGCCGCACAGCTGTAGTACTGTAAGCACAGAAGGCAAAAGGGAAAGTGAGGCATCACAGGATGATAGAACCCTCGTGGTAGAGTGATCAGAAGACTCATGGAGTCCAAGATGGGTGTACTGTGGCCTAGGGTTCACGACTGTGTTCGGAACCCCATGTAATGGGAAACCAGGAATTTCAGTAGGGCTCTCAGAATGGGCTCTTACTGGAAAAGCAACTCCAGTACGATTCACTCTGCAAGGTGGAGAAGTGACTGCAGAAAAAGGATTGGAATGGGGTCTTTTACCTTTTTTACCTAACTCCAGTCTCCAACTGGAAATAGATGCCTCTACTAAAAATCACACTTTGCAAGGAGGGCAATTACAAAATGATGCCTGAGTGGATGACCTTGATTTCTTCCTAGGGGTCCAAAACCCCCCCCCCCAAAAAAAACCCCAGTGAGAAAGAAAAGAGGGCTGCATCTCCTTTACCCCAGCAGAGATCCATAGTTGGCCCTCCTCTGCTAGACACATAATTTGCATTCATTTTGTACTTACCCTAAGGCTTGTTATAAATTCCTGAAAGCTGAGGTAAAAATAGAAAGTCTACAGCCCAATCTTATCTTTAAATGTTTGCATTTCACTTACACTTTCACACTAAAGTAGCTGAGGCTCAAGATGAGGGAAAAAAAATCAAGTATTTGCTTAGTGTTGACTCTGAAATACATTTAGTGGCTATTAGGAGTTACCTTAAACAAAAGTCAAGAAGAAAATAGAGTAATTGGAATAGCCTCTGGCTATTTTTTTAATCCTACAACAAATGTGACCTACGAAGCAAGGGCATATTTGCTCAAGCTGAAGTGCCTCTCTCTTCATTTCAATCAAGAGCTTAACAGTTAGCTCCCAGGTGTCAAGAGCAGCTCTACCCTTGAAGCAAGTTTTGCTCAACTAGGCAAAGCTTACCAACAACATCAACGAATTATTCACTGCCAGCAGGTAAAATGTCAACAGCTCTTGTCTGCTTTGTTGATGTTGGTGTTTTCCCCCCAGTATCTGTAAGCTCATTTTGGATTCAGCTTCTCTTTCATCAGTTTCATATTCTGATAAGCATCCTGTCCCCAAAATTGTCAAAATCAGCAGGTTCACTCTTAACATCTCTTGTTTAATGTCAGATTTACCTGTATTTCTGTGTCAAGAGACTCTAACAAAAGGGCAAGAACCAAGAGTGCACCTTGACGAAACAAAATCTTTTGAATCCATTCTGCAAGGGAAGAGTAAAACAATAACAGCATGTCTTTAAGAAATTATTTTGGGCTAATGAATATTTCCTTTGTCATTGGCTCATAGCCAAAAGCACAGTGTCTTTCTAGAGAGACAATTTAGAAGAAGGCTACATATTTTATTGCATAAAATTTGATTTTATATCTCAATTTTTCCTGAATTTTACAGTATTATTACCAGAATAGATAACCCACTGTCAAATGTAGGGTTAGGGGCTTACTTATTCTCTACAAAAACAAAATCAAAGTTGTTTCTCCTGGAAATAACTGAGGTATGTGTGTATGATTTGGGTTCATCCAGACATAAACAAATCATTGGAAATAACTGCACCAGTCATAACACAGTGTTTAAGATCTTGTACAAATTGCAGTACAATGTCTTTAATCTTGTAGACTTCCAGACAGCACACTGGATTGTGAACAGGAGTCTCACTAGAGAGTCTGCATAAAGAATAAAACCTGCACAGTCAACAACTGGCTTAAGAAATAGATAATTATTCGGACAATTTCTCTATGTTCTAAGTGGTGACTAAAGATCCACTGAATGGTGTCTCAAACAGATGGTTCTATGGTAATTCAACCAAAAATGCAAGTGAGAAACCAATGTTTAGATCAGACACCATAAGCTGGAATTCTTTAGAATTTTAGTTTATCAGCAATGAGCAGATATGTTTGTATACACTGCTCAGTCGCTCCCTGCTTAGCTCCACCAGATAGTGGAACTGGCTAGACAAAGCAGGAAGCTTCCACCCCTTGTTGTGTTGAGAACTCCACCTAAACCAGAATTCATGCCTTGTTGCTCCACTAACAAAGCAAAATCGTAAGCATAAGTCCATTCCTAGCATATGGCTCCAGATCACTCAGAGGGCAACCAGCCAGGGGTCCTGATCCTAAGGTAATACCAGGCAAACCACCAACAGAAGTCTCCTGGTTTGTTCAGCTCCTGTTGCAGCAGCAGCAGCAGCAGCTGAGTAGACGGCACCATCGCATGCACACCAGCCCCACACTGCAACACGTCACTTTTTAAAAAGGACAACTTTTTTTTTAAAGCATGCGCTTTTCAGAGTGTGTGCCTGCAGGCAGGGACTGTCTTGTTAAATCCACTGGCTGTAGAGCAATATGAAAATACTTCAGATAAATTTTAAAAACAATACCTGATTGGGTGAGGTTGAAAATAGCTCCAACTGCATTTTGTTGGACCCTTGGATCATGAGATTTACAAAGGACAAGTAAAGGTACAACTCCTCCTGCTGCTCCAATTGCTTCCTGGTTGACACCTGGCAAAAGAATAGGGCAAAACAGGCACGATCAGGAAGTTCTGTTTTGCTTGGAGATATTCCTATTTCTCCATGACCCTGGACAAGATGCCCTCCTGCCACCACCTAGTGCCATGTCAGCAAGCCGTGGCCCCCCGCCCCCCAAGAGTTTGTGAGAGAAGGGTGGCAAGCAAAGGGTGCTGTTGCCCACTTGGCCCTTCCCAGGCCCAGCAGCTGGAAGGGGGGAAAGTCATGAACACCCAGGCATGTGCTTCACTCACTAAACTTGCTGGGTGGTGTTATCACAAAGGGGCAGTTCTCTTCTTCTCAGTCCCTGGGCCGAAAGGACAAGCTCCCACCCAGACAGCTGTAGTGGCTGCCACCTTCATTTCCCCAAATGTCTCTGGGCTTCTTTCAGGCCAGCAACATTATTTATTTGGAGGGAAGGGCACGGTGGCTGCTCTGGCAGTCCAGTTAGGCCCCTGACATGCAAGGAGGGTGAAATAATAAACCCAGTGCCAGTCCTGGTGAGTCTTCTCTGTGCTCAAGCATCTGCCTCCCACATCTGGTGCTACTGCTGGGGCTGCTACCCCCTTCTGAGTCAAAGCCTTCAGTTCCTTGTAGAGATCCCTGCACCTCTTGCCATACTTAACGAAAGCTAAGGAAAGAACCCAACACTAGCATGCATGCGTCTCGTACACATGTGCATAATCCACCACGTCTGCATCATGCCAGCCTTTTCTATGCAGAAGTTTCATGAGGGTGGTGGAAGAGGCATCCACAGGCATCAGCCCAAAGCAGGCCACTCTCACACAAACAGGTGATGCGGCTACGGCATCATCACAGAACTGAGCTGCAGCACCATCTTTTATGGGACTCTCTCTTTTTAGAACAGGCTCACCTGAGACCGCCAGTGTCATTATGCAGGCGCAGGCATTGCACTGTACAGTGGTGTCATCAGATTCAAGCAGCTCCAAAATTGGCTCAAGTAAATCCGTTTGTATGATGTGCTCTTTAATCACTGAGGGTGGACAGAGGCAGTAGAAGTTCATTTTAAACATTACTTTAAATGGGCCTTTTATTCAGCTTCATTGTACTGGAGATGGCAAAGGATCACCAATTTTCTTGGCCCCTGGTTCATGAGAACATTGTACTGATGCAAAACAAGCATCCCATTTATTTTTATGCTATTCTTAAATTCCCTAGCAGGCAAGGCAACATCCTCTTGCTGCATCGGTTCCCATTATTATTGGGAATGGGACCTCAAGATCACTGGCAGGTGCTGCATTCCTCTTTCTCGGCAGAAATATTTTTTCATTAACTTACCATTTCCTTCCAGTAAGAAATTGACAAGGGACAAAGATGAAATCTGCAGAACTTCCACATCATTAGAATTCAGCAAAGCATAGTATGCTTCCAAATGCTCTGGGGGCAGCTGGATGTTCACTGAAGGAACAAGAGGAAATGCTGACAAACGGCTCGTGCCTCTAAGGTCTTTAAAGATTTGAAGTTACAGGCAACCAGCGCCATACCTAGTAACCTACTACTCTATTTTCCAGAAGCCCAGAAAGGCTCGGTTTGTGCAGATTCCCACGATAATCGACATTAGGCACATAAATTTCTAAAATACTCTGACTGCCACATGCATAAAGCTCCACCACAGCAACTTCTCCAGGTCAAAGGGAAAGCCATACTGGACTAACAGCTTTTGACGAAAGAGAATCCAAGTACATGCATGTATTCTGTCTCTGGGATCAACATAGCAAAGCTATTCTATACTGCCTCCAATGCAGTGCCTCTCGTTGCCCACCAGGCACTCTGCTCTCCATGATTTTTAAAACAATTTTTAGATTTTTAAATGAGTTCTTTAAGTGAGAGGCTACCACACAGTAAAGTGAAGCCTCAAGCATAATCTTTATTTCCAAGAATGCTTTGGGGGCCTATAATATTAGAAAAGACACAAACAAGGTGAATACAGCTCACTGCTTCATTTTGAAGGGCACGCAACTACTCAGGGGGAAAAAAAAGAAAACGGGGGCTTAGGGTGGCAGGAGGTATCTGAGGGAGTGGCAGAGAGCAAAGAGTGTGTGTGTGTGTGTGCGTGCGCGCGCTGCTTGTGGCCTGTGTGTGTGCCTGTGTTCAAATAAGTGGTATAATGATCTGGAATTCAGACCCCCATCTCTGACTTGCACCTGTTCTTGGGCAAGTTTATTTTAAGTTTCACCAGTTTGCTCTCTGATGTTTCGTAACTGCCTACAAGCACACACAAGACTCAAAAATTCCAAATTCCAAATCCACCCACTTGTCAAAACCGTTTGGGGACCCCTGCTATAGTACAACAGTCTTGCATTTCACCACTTCTCTGGTCTCCATAAGCAGATGAGTCGGTTGTAGAGGTGAGGTGGAAAGTTTTCTGCTGCAGTGCTCTGCATTGCTGTGCTGGGCGTAGAGGAAAGCCGTTTGTGTTCTTCCCATCCAGCGAAGCAATGCACTCAAAGCTCAGCACAGAAAACCAAGTGGCTGCCACTCTTTCTACCCCTCAGGTATCCCATTGCTGTTTTCGCTTTTGCTTGTTCTCACCCTGCCTTTATTCTTACAAGGAGGTCCCCCACCCGCCAACCCTTCTCATGCAATAAGTTCAAAGTAGCTGAACTTGGTTATTAACAAAACCAAGTCAATAAGCTTATAAAGGTGGGATCCCAAGCAGGTATCTTTAGGTCTCATGGAACCATCTCCCTGCTTAGGCCTTCATAGCAGCAACTTGTTGTAAACCACAGAGAGAGTGTTGGCTATGGGGCAGTACAGAAATGAACTAACAGCAACAGCAGATACAGCTGTTTTACTATCTTTTTGTGTCAGGTTAAGACTTCCCTCCTTGCTGAGATATTTACTACCTTAAAGTAGCACATGTAGGTGGAGCGGAGTATTGCCAGATCTTTTTTTCAGCAGGCCTGGTGATATGGGATAGTTTAGCTGTTTTGTTGTTAAATGTACTTTTAAATGTTTTAATGTAAGTTTATTCTGTTTTCATTGTTCTATTATATAGTGCATTTTATTGTATATATTCACTGTTGGTCATTGCTCAGAATAACAAGTTATTAAAATTAAAGTAATTCACAGCACAGGGATTTTAGAAAGCTAATTTGCCATAGGTGAGGGAAGAAAACAAGTCAGTAAGCTAGATTTCTATGACTTTCACAAAGCATATGGAGACAGTTCTTACTCACAGTGTTGACTTATGTTTAAATAATAGAGCGCTGCAGACTTTTGCAAGCCAGGGTTCTCCGAAAATGCCAAGGTCCTCAGAGCCTCTAGGGAATCCTTGCCGAGTGGTGAAGTTTGAAAACCTGATGGTAACAGAGTCTGAATTGTGTCAGAAGGAGTTAAATACCTAGAGTCCATGTGAACAGAATTTAAAGCAGTAAGCTTTGATGGGAAAAAAATCTCTGTACTTGGAGACTGGTGAACTGAACAAATGATTACTGAAAAATTATACACTGTACCAATATTTTCCATTTTGTTTGCTTTTTAAATTGCTCAGTGTAATTTTATTCCCTTGTTTAACTCCACTCTGCCCCCAGGGCTTTTTCCTCCTTGTTCCTTTGCTCTTACCCTAATTTCCCTCCACTGTTGATGATTCTGATTGCTTGTGGTACCATCATGATTTTCTGTGCAGGCACCAATATGACCCTCACATGAGAAGTAACCGTAGTATCTGCATGGGTTGTTGTGACTCAGCAGACGAAAATAATACTGAATCCTGTTGCAGTCAAAGCAGGGCTACTGAGAAACAAAAGGGAGGTATCAGGGTAAGGTCAGGGAATCCCAAATGTTGCAGAAGCAGAAATTGGCTACGGAACACCAAATGAAACAGAAAACCTGGGGAGAGGGATAATGGAATGGAAAGAAAGCCTAGTGCTGCCTTCCCCAATCTGATAGCCTTCGGATGATCTGGACTTCAGTTCCCATCTGCCCCAGGTAGCATGGCTTCTTGTCAGGAATGCCTGGAATTGTATTCCAAAACACTGGGGAGGCACTAAGTTGAAAGAGACCTGTATATTGGCACACTGAACAGGAACAGCAATGGATTGTAAGTCCCATCTGTTGGGTAAACATCAGTGACAGTAAAGGAGAATAGCATCAAGTTGCACCAGGTACTCTCATAGCAGAATGAGAGTACCCAAAGCACTAGAATAAAAGATTTTTAAAAATTAGTGCTATGAGTAAAGATAACACCAAAATCAGGAGATGCTTTCTGATAGAACACCCCAAAAAATTACAGATCAGGCCTACTTCTGTACAACTCAACACCTTGTTTATTTGTTCTGGCTCTCCAAATTAATTTTAAGTTCAAACTCAAGTGGACAATTAGGCAGGGGCTGCAAAGGGAACCTGCTACTCCTCCCTTTCTGGAATGCAGCCAGACACGTACACCTTCCCACACTTAGTCATCTCTGCTATCATGGCCATATACCGTTGGGTCTATTTTGTCTCAATCATTACAGCTAAAATCCCTATTGCCCATAGGTTCCCTTCTCCCTCCCCACAGTGCCTGTACAGTAGAGCCAGGTGTGTGAAGCCTTCACTATGGACAAGAATGCTGGGAATGAAGCCCTAAAGACCTGCAGTCATCTGTGCAGGGGTCTTCACCACAAAGAGAGATGAAGCAGCCAGAGACATCCTAAATCAAACTAAATTAGTCTTCCTTAACCACCACCCCTTACAGAGTCTGAATATTATCAATTAATACCTACTTCATAAATAAATAGATGTTAAATAATTAATGATCAACACCTAACATTTTTTACAAGATTCTTCATACCTTTCAAGGAAAATTTAGCTGTTCATATGGACATCCATCTACTTAAGATACAGCTCATGCCAGAGATATACAATTAGCAGCTAGGTTAATCGGGTTTTAATCTGTAAGTTTATTAAGAGACAGCTGTAATCAGAATTAGGCCTTGCTCACTAGGCAAAAAAGCCTGAATTCTATAAAGCAGAGATTCATCTTCTGAAATTATTTTATGTGCTCCAGTAGCCAAAGTATATTTGCAATATGATCTTTTCAGAATTCAGCTTAAATGTTTCATATAGGGTAATATTCTTTGTTGCTACACTTTAAGCATCACTTTGCTTGTGTAGGAAATTAATGCAATGGACCTATGTTTGCTGCACTCTTTTGCATCTCCTTTCTTGGGAGTGGAATGTATATTGGACATTTCCAGTCTGTGGAGCATTGTTTTGTTCTCCATATTTCCTGGCATATTCTTGTTAGGATTTGGACCAGTTCTTTCTCTGTAGTTTGGAGTAGTTCTATTGCTACCCTTTCAGCTCTGGTACAAATTTGGTACAATTGCCCTGCCTCACATTAAATTTGAAGAGGGCTCCTGGCATCATTTTCCATTGGTAGAAAATTCAATTTTCCTTTCCACCTCATGTTTTCCCACTGCTCCTTCTGCTTTTTTCCCTCACCAGAGAAAAATACATTAAGTTAAAAATATGGAATGGTGCATAAACTAATGGTAGCACTAGCAGCTTTCTGTCTGAAAGCCAAACAATATGCAGAAGAGCTAAAGATAATTGATTTACAGCATTTTAAAGTAATTGTGTTTTAGGCATTTTATGGATTACCTTGTAAGTAGCTTTCCTCTTATCACAAAAAGTACATGCATTTTAAAATGAAAATTCCAGATTCAATGCATATCCAGAATATATCATATCATAACTGGGGAACTGAGAGCTTGATCTACCTGGTCATAGCACTTGGATTTTTCTTAAGGATTGGGGTTAAGGACAGACAACAGAAGAATCAGAAAAGCAAGATTTTTTGGCATATATATCAGAATTCAAGTACTATCCTAAGCTAGAGCTTGTGGTAAGATAATGGTGTTTGCTATGTCGAGGCTGTTACTATGATTATTGTTCCACTTTTGTCAGGCTCCAGAAGACTTGCAGGCCACATGAGATAGATTAGGCAGATCATGTAGGACCCAAGATAGCAAAGTACCTTGCAGCAGCTTTATTTCAGATAAATGGAAACTACTGAGATGAAGGCAAACATTTGCACCTTTGTAGAACTGGAATTTTAATGTGTGGAGGAAAGTAGCTTAATCAATCAATCTGAAATTGGAAACCTTTGTCTTCTTAGAGATCATCATTTCACACAAAGTGTGGGTTTTGCCTATCTTCACTATTCCTCACAAAAACACCCGATGCATAAACAGCCCTGGACCTTTTACTGCCTACAGTAACTGAACAATCTTAAGCCAAGGCACAAAGCTCAAGTATTTATTTATTTTATTTAGACAGCTTATATGCCGCCCCCTTCGCATAAGCCTCGGGGCGGCTTACAATCATTAAAATCCCGCATATAAATACAAAAAAATAAAATAAAATACATAGAATAAGTTAAATACATAAAATAGTGGAAACAGCCCACTTGGCTGCCCCAGCTGCAAAAGCAGAAACCTCTCACCTTTAACGATGTGCTGCAGAAATTCCTGGGCTACCTCCTCTTCCTGGGGTTGAAGGACGGTCTTGTATAACGGCTTTGCCTCAAATGTTTTGTCTTTTAGACAGGGGCAGATTTGGATCTGAGCCAAATGCTCCCTCAAGTCATGCACCAGACTCGAGGATAGTGTTTTCACTGAGAGAAAAATATCACAAAGCAACTGGGCACACTTGGCACACAACTGACCCATTTTTAACTTTGCAGTTAAGCAAAAAACTAGACAGAAAAGAAGGAAGGCTGAGAGTTTATACTTCTCCTGCTTGCTGACTCGCTCCTGTGTTCTTTGCTTCGGCAGATGTAGCGACAAACATAATTCTCTAGACCAGCTGCAGAAAGGTCGGTGCTGCTTCCTATGTGCACAGCAAAATGTAAGTCTATGTCTAACTTGTGAAATGTAGGAAACGCTTTAAAAACTTTGGCTAGACATTATCAGCCTTCCTTTGTTTTAGATGGGAGAAAAATTACATGAAATAAAAGCGGTATATCCAGAATCCATTTCTATCATGTTGTTACAATCATATCAAGTTGTGAATGCTAAAACTAAGCCCAACTGATTCGAGAGGCTAGTTACAGCCTCTGTGATTACAAACAAAGAAGGCTATGCATATATAGAGTGACCTCACAGGTGAGGAAAACGGACCCGCTGGTCTCCACCTCTACCACCTCTATCTGCCAATGAGAGAGAAAACAAAAAGCTACACAAACAGGTTATTCCAGTTTTGGCCAGGCAGAAACAATAGTACCACCTGGATTGGCAGACAGCCCATAAATATTAATTCATCATGGCTGCAAAAATGGAGAAATACAAAAATACAACCACAATATCAAAATTCGGTTTGCTTTGCTCCTTCAAGTTATAATAATTGTCCTACCCCTTATTATCAAGACACTATCTAGTTTGTGCTGCACAAGCACAATAGGTACAATATTGGAATGTGTTTGGGCACTTTTTTAATTACTCCATAAAATTTAAACTAGCTTGCAGAATATATGTGGCTTGAAAGCCAAGATCTGATAATTTACATGTACCCAGTTCTCTGAATTCAGGGGGAGGGTTTACACATCATGATAAGCATGCCTGCAATTACTTCAGCTACAAGTGGGAGTCACTGGCTTAATAAAACATGGTTCTTTGGCTTATCTGTTTCCCAACCCCCACCCCACCCCACCCCACCCCAAATCACCCAGCAGCAAACTGTGGAAATTGTGCTTGATGGGAATTGTGTCAGAAGGCTCAGTTTCTGGCTTTCAGCAGTGGGCAACCTGATGCTTCTTTTACAAGTAACCCATTAAGGTCTCAGCCCTGTTCTACTCCCTGCCTCTCCCATGGCAACAGATATTCAAAGAGCCAAGCTGTCTCCTTATTTGTTGTTCAGTTGCAAAGTCGTGCTTGACCCCATGGACATTCCTTCGGATTCTCCTATCCTCCACCATCCCCTGGAGTACACCCAACCCCACACCCACCTCCCCAGTGACCCCATCCAGCCACCTCAATTTCTGCCATCCCCTTCTCCTTTTTCCTTCAATCATTCCCAGCATCAGGGTGTTTTCCAATGAGTCCTTCCTTCTCCTTAGGTGACCAAAGTATTTGAGCTTCAGCTTTAGTACCTGACCTTCTAAAGAGCAGTCAGGGTTATTTCCTTTAGGATTGACTGATTTGATCTCTTTGTAGTTCAAGGGACTCCCAGGAGTTTGTTTAATTATCGTGGCTAATACCAAAGTGACAAGTTATTTAATTTTCATTTAAAAACATCTAAGTTATACATTTATCTCACTACATGAAATACTGCTACTGTCTTGAGACATGAAATGATAGCAGTAAAGGTTGCTCATTGTTCACTTCTGACTAAGTGAAGAGTGCCACCTATTGATGTGCTGCATCCATCAAAAACCTCACATATTCTTGGATTTTCTCAGGTTATGTCACCTATTACATTTTACAGCAGCACATGTTAATTCATCTGCAGTATCTGACTTGTAAATATGCACTGACTGAAGTTGCTTCAAGTCACTTGCTTCTCACACATTTACAAGAAACACACGTTGCCCACTCCTGATATTATGCTACAAATCAGCTTGATGTTTTCAGCTACTGCAGATAGGCACCAAAGTTCTTGTAATGTGGTTAAAATATTTATTTAAACTCAGCATATTAGTAGATAACACACTGCAGTGTACATACTCACATGCATGTAGACACACTTTCCCCAAAGATACAGAGCTGGAATAAATCCATTCTTCACTGGCAAAACAGCATGTGTTGCGTGCAAGTATGTGTTTCAGAGCATACAACCTAATAACAAGTTTCATAGGAATATGGTGCTAGCATGTTAGACCAACAATTAAATCCTCCTGACAGATGCAGTAAAGCATGTGTGTAAGACAGCAGTCCTCAGCCCATTTATTGCAATTAATCCAACTGAACTCAATAGAATTTACTTTTGAGTTGCAATTGCATTCTCAGTTTGCATACTAAAGTAGGATCATGCTAATATGGACTGGGAAAAAATGGTGTAGGTATGGCTCTCTGCTGAACTAGCACTCAGATAAGTGAAGTTATTTATTCTCAGTCTCCCATTTATAAAATGGTAGCAGTCATAACTTACCTGACAGATTTGCAAGGATGAAGAAGTTAATAATGGTTAACTAGTAATAATAATATTACTAGTTAAAAAGAGGGGAAAGTACTTTTTGATAAGAAAAGCACTGTGGTAATTTGAAAAGATTCATCCTCAAGCTTCAGACATTTGTGTAGTTACATTCCCTCTAGGCAGGGAAGTTCCTTTCTGGGGTGGAGAAGACAATTTTTGTTTTATGATCATGAGTAACATACAGACTTTTATGTAGACAGGCAGACAAGGAAAAAATATAGTCAAGTAACTGCATACTTGCAAAAGAGCTACTTTTATTAATGTTCCATATTTTGGAAGAGGGCAAGGGAAGAGTTATAGGAAAATGTCAGCATGGATGTTACCATTTATGTGCTTTATAATTCACTCAGGAATTAATACAATAGGAGAGGACAACTTGAATGCTGAGGAAGACTTGTGCTGAATCTGACTGAACACAGGTTTCAGGGTGCAGACTGCCTTGATTGCCTTGTAGGGTTACCTTTGCTGACAGAGGCAGGCAAGTGCATCCCTGCTGGTTCTCCTAATCCTCTCCACAGCTTTGACTATCCTTTTGGGGAGGCTGACTGAACTAGGGGTTGGAAGAATGGTTTTACAGTGGTTCCATTTCAATTTGGACAAGTGGTTCCCAAAAGTGTTGCTGGAGGATTATAGTCATGCATTATGGCATTCCCTCTGTGACAGCCTTCCAGACTCTATTTTGGCCTCTGTGAAAGCACTGGGACAGGGTGTCTGGAGGGAAGTGTCATCAAAATACAGATGACATCCAGCTTTACAGCCCAGTTCACAGAAATACTATGGTTGCTCTTGGGTTGTTTGAGTGTTGTTTCTCTCCAGGACTGATAAACTGAAACTCAGTCCAGGCAGGATGGAGGTTCTTTAGTAGATTTCATATTTTGGTTGACTGACATTCAGCTGGCTCTAAATTTGATTACACAGCCCAGAAAGAGCAATTTTTAATGACAGCGCCAGGCGGACCTCTCTAGGGGGTGCATTCCATAGTCGGGGTACCACCACAGAGAAGGCTCTCCTTCGAGTACTCTGCCTTCTGACCTCTTTCAAAGAGGGTTCCTGGAGGAGGGCCTCTGCTGGCGATCTTAGGGAGTGGGAGGGCATATAGGGAAAAAGGTGTTCCTTTAGGTATCCTGGTCCCAAGTCATTTAGGGCTTTATAGGTAATAACCAGCATCTTGAATTGAGCCTGGACTTCAATGGGAAGCCAATGGAGCTGATAGAGGACTGAAGTTATGTAAGAATAACAACCAGTCCTGGCCGCTCTATTTTGCACCATCTGAAGTATCCGGACTGTCTTCAAGGGCAGCCCCACATAGAGCGTGTTACAGTAATCCAAACGTGAAGTAACCAGTGTGTGTGTCACTGTTGCTAGGCAGTTCTCCTCCGGGTAAGGACGCAGCAGATGGATCAGCCGAAGCTGAAGGAAAGCGCTCCTTGCCACCGTCATCACCTGGGCTTCCAGGGACAGCTCCGGGTCAAGCAGCACTCCTAAGCTGTGGACCCTGTCCTTTAGAGGGACTGCAACGCCAGCCAGGGCAGGGACCAAGTCACTTACCCAGAAACTCGAATCACCCACCATCAGAACCTCCGTCTTATCTGGATTGAGCTTCAGTTTATTGGCCCTCATCCAGCCCATTACCTCGGCCAGGCACCGGTTCAGGACAGTCACTGCCTCACCTGGGTTAGTTGAAAAAGAGAGGCAGAGCTGGGTGTCATCAGCATACTGATGACTCCGCAGCCCAAACCTCCTGATGACCTCTCCCAGCGGTTTCATGTAGATGTTGAATAGCAAGGGGAACAAAATGGAGCCATGCGGTACTCCATGGCAGAGTTGCCATGTTGCAGAGCCAAAGTCTCCAGCACCACCTGCTGGAATTGGCTGACAAGGTAGGAGTAGAACCACTGCCTAGCAGTGTCTCCTACTCCCAATCCTGCCAGCCTATCCAGAAGGATACCATGGTCGATGGTATCAAAAGCCGCTGAGAGGTCCAGGAGAACCAACAGGGATGCACCCCTCCATCCCTCTCTCTGCACAGGTCATCATACAGGGCGACCAAGGCAGATTCAGTACCATACCCAGGTCCTGAAGCTGGACTGAAATGGGTCCAGATAATTAGTTTCATCCAAGAGTGTTTGGAGTTGCCCCGTCACCACCCACTCCAACCCCTTGCCCAGAAACAGGATGTTGGCCACCGTTCTGTAATTGGTGGCCATCTCTGGATCCAGGGACGCCTTGTTTAGGACAGGCCTGATTACCACCTCCTTCAAAGAAGCGGCACCCAGCCCTCCCTCAGTGAGGCCTTAATAACCTCTTGGATCCAGGAACCAATTCGGTATTTGGCGTTGCTAAGTAGCCATGAAGGGCAAGGGTCAAGTAAGCAGGTGGTAGGACGTACTTGTCCAAGCACCTTGTCCACATCATCAGACCTCGTTAACTGAAATCATCCAATAATGCCGGACTAGATGGAGTTCTTGGCGCCTCCCCTAAAGGAACCGTATCAACTGTGGAGTCCAGCTTGTGACGGATCTGAGCGATTTTCTCCTTGAAGTGCCGGGCAAAGTCGTCACAGCGGGCAGTTGATGGTGGCACAGGATCTTTTTTGGGGCCTGAATGTATTAGCCCACGTACCACTTGGAAAAGCTCCGCTGGATGGCACTGAGGAGGCAATGGAAGTGGAGAAGAATTTCTTCTTTACTGCCTTCACCGCCACAGCATACGCTCGATAGTGAGCATGTAAGCATAGCTTTAAGTAGCTAAAACAATTTTAATTATTAATCCTGATAAACATAATTGATGTAAAATGCCCCATCGTATGCCATTAAATGCCCAGGAACAGATGGCAGCCTTAACTTGGTATCAAAAAGATGACAGTGTTGGCACCTGAATGACCTTCGTGGGAAGATCGTTGAACAATTAAAAGGCCACCATGGAGAACTCTTTCATATCACTAAGAAGGCACTTAGAGGAAAGTCTCAGATATGAGGTTCATAGGGTACTGTGGTCTCAAACCATGTAAGGTCTTATAGGTTAGCTACTGCACTGCAGTACCCTCCTCTCTAAATTCAGACAATCACCCCAGAAAGACACACGATGACATCAGCAAAAGCTGCTGAGAAAATTAGGAATTCAACAGGATCACGTTCCCGTCTCTCACTCAATATAGGATATCTCGAGAACAGGGCCATCAAGACTGTTTCTATTTCAAAAATGTGCCCTGAACATTGACTTGAAAGGATATAAGTTTTTGGTCTTATTCAAGGGTGTAGGGATCCGGTTGGCCATCACTCATTTAAGGACTTTACCCAGGAAAAGAACATTTGACCTCAGCTTAAAGATCTTGGTATCAGAGATTTCCCTGGGAACAGTGTAAGTGCTGCCTCTTTTTGTTGGATGAGGACCACTTCCTTCCACAGGGGAGTAATTCTCTAGCCCAGCTGGCTGTCCACTCTTCCAAGTTCTTATAAGCCAAGAGAAGTAAAAATGCAGTATGGAAGCATGTCCACAGCCAGTGGAAACTTATCCAAAAAAACTGGACAAGACCCTGGTGGATGTAAGAGATTGTATACTGAAAATACCTAGCAAATTTTTTACAGTGCAAATCAGCCAGATCCATAGTGTTCCTAGGGGCAGCATGTAATAGGCCCCAGATGACCCTGACAAACTCTGCTGAATAGCACATACAGGATTCAACAGAGGCAGTGAAATGTTGTTTCTTTGAAAGTGCCACTCTCAGGGAGAGGCGTCTGGTATACATTGAGATATACCAGGTTAAGACCCTGTTTCAAGCAGTTTACAGTGGAAACAAATGTATGTTCAGACATGAAAGTGCCATATAACTCCTAGCATTTCTTAGCCAGCCATACTGGCTGGGAAATGCTAGAAGCTGTAGAACTATTAAGTATGCATAGGACTGCAAGCTTTTTAATTTGATGTGTTTTACTATTCTACTGATTCAAGATTTTACCTATTTTAAAAGATTAATATTCAATTATTTTAATATTTGATGTATTATGTTTATTTAGTTTTATTTTGTGTTTGTTTGACTTCATGATTTTAAACTAACTCACCAGTGTCTGCTAGTTGGGTGCTATACAAATCTACTGAAAAATAAAAGGTACAGAACTACATTTTACTTTGTCCGTTACTACACAGCATAAAACATAATTATCACTAGTTTGTACCTCTCATATTCTAGGACTGTTAAAACTGATGTTCAATAAGAAAACTCAGTATCATGGAACATGACTTACTAGTCTAAATACCCATTTCTTCTTTTGGGAATAAGATGCCTTGCATTAAAATGTTAGGTCAACCCTTGCCATATGTTTCCTGCATTCTGAGTTTATATTTATTTAAGAATCCATACTTTTGCAGTATTCCCAGTGGCGACCGGTGCTTTATTCCCAGCTAGGCACAGACAAGATTGAAACAGAGAACCAACGCTGTGGGAGTATCCTGTCTGGGACTTAAAAGGGACGCAGACTCACCGGATGGTAAAGAAAAATGACTGGTTCTCACCCCAAAGGTTTGTTGTAAGGCCGCAACGCTAAATTTCTCTAGCGACGAGCGTAATACTAATAAAAAATAAAGAGAAATTATACCCCCCTGCATATTCAGCTTAGCCTACTTCATAGGCCAGTTATAAAATAAAAAGCGGAATGGGGCAACGCTGCAGAAACGCGGTGGACTCAGTTGAAATTTAAAAATGCGATGTTTGCCTAAATGAACAGTATGAAGCAACTCAGAGAAAAGCGACTGTCTTTGAAACAAACAAATAACGTTAGCGCGACTACAGTAAAACGCAGAACTCCAAAGGTCTTTTTTTTCCTCCTCTCCGATGATTTGCCACGCCCGTCATACCTAACAAGGAATAGTACGACTACGCATGCGTAAACTGAGAAGTCACCGTGTTTCTCGTCCGTTTCGCAAAGGGAAATATCACGTGACCGTGTATCACGCCAGTCCGGGCCGTTTACGTCATTCTCACTTCTAGTCGCCATCTTTCCTATGGGCAGTAGGTGAGGCCGAGGTATGATGAAATTCCTATTCCCTTCCCGCCTCTTGCTCAGGGTGGAAGTGACGTGTTCCTGCTAGCCTAACGTCGCAGAGACGGTTTTGTCTATGGTTTTCTCCCCTTACCCCCCCTCCCCGCCGCCCCATTTCTTTTCCTTCACCGAGACTGGAAATGGCCGCCGAGCGGTGAGAGCAGAACGGGAGGTGTTCCCCAGAGGGTGAGCCGCAGCCAGGCAAGGATTCGAGTGGTCGCATGAAGGCCAAGACACTGAGGCAATCGGGCCTTGCTCGTCAGTTTTCACCTTTGGATTCGGCGGCCGTTACTCTCGAGCGCGACGCTGCCGCCCCCGCTCGCCCTATTCCCCTGCGTTCCGTGGCGCGGGAGTCACTCTAGGTGCGAGCCAACGTTTTCCCCTTTCCTTCTGTGTACCATTTGGAGGCGGGTGGGGACATTCCCAGTTTTTCCCCTTCAGGAGCCCCCCTTTCCCCGCTCGCTCAAGCGCTGGTGGGGGAGGGGCTTGCTCTGTCCGAAAGGGCGGGAGGGAGAAGAAGACAGAGGCGGTTTCCTTTTCCCTCTCGCTTCGCGCGCGCTCTCCCCTCTCCACGGCCCCCGCTCATTTCCCCTGAGGAAACGGCCGAGAACGCGGCCGGCTGGGCGTGGCCAAAGGGAAGCTGTCTTGCTATTGCTTGCAAGGGTCGCTGGTGCCGTAGCAGCAGCTCGGGATCCCTGCTGTTTCTCTGTTGCGCGGCAGCAACACCTAACATGCGTTCTCCCCACCTTTGGTAGCTGCAGCAACTAATCCATCAGAAAGGGTAACTGTGACGAGGTGGGTGTGGAACAGTCTTCGTCAGTCTTCTGCCCTCGGGATAAGTTGGACTATAGTTCCTACTAACGCACACGGGAAGCTGACGTGTGTGTGTGTGTGTACACACGTACGTACGTATTGGGAGTTGCGGTGTAACACATCTGGAGGGCATCAGGCTATCGAAGACTGGTATGGGGAGAAATGGGACCCTTTACTGAGTCCGGGCGCGTTAATTCCAGCATTTCCGTTTTCAAGAGACTGCTGCAGGCACAGTTTCAGATTTTTCAGTGGTGTTCTAACTGTATGCCTGAACGTTTCCAAGAAACACCTGTATTATGCAGAGGATCTTTGAGGCAGCAGGAATTAGTTGTACCTCTGATTTGAATGAGGGCTCGGTAGCAAATGAATATGAAAATCGGAGCTCCCCAGTGTTGTTCAGTGTGCAGGGTAATGTACATCTGAGATCCTCTTCTGCATTTTATCAATCTTTGGGTAATTTCACACCGTCAAGTTTGCATCTACATGATGTTCCTGGTATGTCCGGGGATGTATTCTTATGAATTGTATCAATTATGAGATTTACTCCTGGGTTATATAAACACATTGTTTTTGTTACCTTCATAAGCCCCCTTGGGACTTTTCTGACTAAAGGGTGGAATAAAAATGTCCTAAATAAATAGGGAGAGAAAATTTATACTGTGATGCAAGCCATTCGAATGTGTTCATGTAACTGAAGAATAAGGTTAAAAAAGAAAAAAAATACCTATGGTCATAAGCTGAGTAGATACCACCAGTGGAATTGGAATCTACTCTGGAGGTTCATTGTTCTGAGCTTCCTGCTGCTTTGAGGGGAGGTATGTCAGGAGCAGTGATTCATCCACAGATAGGATATTCTACTTGGAGGACAGAAAATTCTTTACTCCATCTCAGAATAATTTTATGGTCTATTCACACTTCCTAGAGAAAGGTGGCAAAATTACCCACCTGCAGCAGAGACAGAAGATAATACAGCCTGATAAGTAAATCAACAAGATGCTGCAGATATCATATTAAGTGAATGTGTACTTAAAGCTCACAGTATTTACTTTATTATTTACTCTATTTACTTTATTATTACTGATTTTAATGATTTCTCAGCACACAGTTTGGGAATTACTATATTAAAATTTCCCCTCTGCTCACTTGATGAAGCTATTGCTGTAGGATTTAATAAAGAACAGTATTATTTTCTGTATATTATGGGATCAGTCAAAACTGTTTCTGAAGGTAATCCAAGGAAATTTTCCCTTACAGTGACTGACATGTAAATCATTTACAAGTTGACATGTTTAATTTTATGGTTATTGCTAAGTGGTGCAGCAAGGCATACATTTTTCACATTACAGATTTGTCAAGGACTTGCTAAAGGTGAATTTTGGGCACTTCTGGAAGCACTGAAAGATTTGGGTTGGATATTGTCAACAGGGTTTAAAAAATGAAGGGGTTTTTTAAAATATATTTATATTTTGTGGCATGTCAGGGTCAGCCTTGCCCAACCTGGTGTTCTCCTGATGTTTGAACTATAATTCTCATCATAACTTACCACTACTAATGTGGGCTGGAGCTGAATTGTAGTGCAAAATTTCAGGAAGGTACCATACTGGGGAAAGCTTCTCTAAATTTGTATTGTGAGAACTGGTTCTCTGCAGATGCTGAGAAATGGAAATTTAAACTAAAATTTTAGAAAGGAAGCAAGTGTTGAGGTATATAGCTATTTGTTCAACACTTCTCCAGTGAGAAGTGGTATGTGCAGAATCGGATTTCTGCATGTATCTCTTACTGGAATAGAAATGACATGTGCAAAAGCATTTCTCATGTGATGATTCTATGCTGGATATGTAGTAATTCAGGTTACATGCAGAGGGCAGTAATCAAGATTCTATTAGTTCCAACCTATGTGGAAGAAGTCAAGCCAGCTAAAGTTGCAGTTGTGCATTTAGCAAAATTAATGCACAAGCGCTTTTGTGACAAAGATTTGGTGGACTTATTTGAGTTTGTGAGTTCCACTAGTGTTACTCAAGTTTGTGGAATTACACGATTGAATACTGCTTGAGTTCCTGACAGTGAGGAGAAGGGCATTCAGAAGCATACATGATTAACACTTTCATTTTGTTTGGGATGGAGTGGATAAGTGAGTTTAGATTCAGGTATATATTTGGTGTGAGATACATGCAAGAAGTCTCTGTTTTAAGCTAGTAAGCTTGCATATACCTAGTGTACAACTTTGAACAGGCAGTACATGTAAATATTTCTGAACAATCGGAATGATAAACCTACTAGACTACACTACTGTGTTGTACTGTGTCTAATTATAAACCCTCTTTTGAAATGAAGGTTTATAATTGAAATGCCCTCCTCCTTTGGACTCTGTTTCAGAGATTTACTCTAACACTCAAACTTACTTTAAAAACTTAAATTTACTAGAGATGGCAATATGTATAGTCAGAATAACTTTATTTTCTTTTTTAACAGGAATTGTTTTGAGTATATAACTAAGAATTGTAAATTAGTTTCTTAGTGTCGTGCAACATTGGAAGGTAAGTCAGATATCTGGTTATTTTGAATTATATATTTAAAAGTTGGATTAAAGTCATTGCCAGTTGAAAAAATAAATAGTTTACTTTTCTAATGACTGAAGGCCTAAAATAATACAAGGTAGAGTGATTTATGTTAAGACTTTCACCATATTATTTTTTTCTGGGTTTGAATTTAACTTTGATATAAGCATGTATATCTTGACCACTAAATTATATACTTGATGCTTTTAAGAAGTAATTCTTATGTGCTTAATGTGTGAACACATAAATAAAATTGCAGTTAAGAATGGAGAAGTTGACAACTTACTATGCAGTTTGGACATTGTACAGTGGTACCTTGACTCACGAATTTAATCTGTTCCAGGTCTCTGGTCATGACCCAAATTGGTTGTGACCTAAGTCAAATTTCCCCATAAGGTTCAGTGTAAATAAGGTCAATCCGTTCTGTAATCATTTTTTAAAAAATCTCAAAAATTTGAAACAAAGTAACAAAGAACAACAAAGTACTGTACAGTACAGTATAGGACACTAACTTAGGTGGGGTGGGGGAGGTTATTTTTTGGAGGGAGAGTCCAAACAATAATTGTGCGATAGCGATCATGCTCGCAGGGAGATGGCCACGATTGTATTTGTGCAGGGAAGACGGTCACGATTGCGGTTGCACTTGTTCAGGGAAGATGGACACAATCGCGATCGTCACCCAATGCAGAGTTCGTGACCTGAGGCAAAATTTTGCCAACATTTTTGTTCTCAATCCGATTTGGTCGTGAACTGAGGCATTCGTGAGTCGAGGTACCACTGTACTTCCCTGTATAAGAGTAGAGCACAAAAGGATCCTGATGGGATCCTAGAGCCCATGTGCAAAGGGACCCCTGACTTGGCCCCAAATATGTACACAGCTAATGCCCCAGGATAGTCAGGGAATAGAAGGTTTGTTCCTTTTATATCCCCATCCAGTTTTCTTCTCCTTGGCCAAGTTATTTAAGCTGTGATGCTGAGGGAACTCTACAAAATGAGGATAAGGGGTTGATGGGGATATGAGAAGCAAGTACAGAAGTCCCATCCTCTGTAACAGCATGTTATGCTATCTGTGTGTGCAGCTCTGTTGATGGGGAAAAGACGATAAAATATTTTTCTTGGTAGGGGTGTTGGGGAAGAATTATGTCCAGTGCTACTGTGATATTGTACATTTTCCAAAGTAATGAATTTTTTAAAATATGCCAATATATCATGATGGCAAAAAATTGGTTGTTCCTTGAATCTTAATTTGCATACTATATAAAATATAAAATATAAAATCTACTTTATTCAGATCTTTAAAATTATAAATGACTTGCCGCTTGAATTAAAATTTGATCTCATCTATCATTTTGTGCAAAGTAAAGTTAGTATACCTTGGTAAATCACAGCTAGGATCTCTATTTTTGTCCTGCATTATGATATGCTATGAAGTAGTAACCTACCTAAAATGCTAGTGCTTACAAGAAAGGATAATGCTACGTGCAGTTAATTGGCTTGGTGTGGCAGGTTCTTGTCTCATTGGCTGGGTAGAACTTTAATATATGAGCTGAATGAAATGGGCCAAAATTTCAAGTATGAAGGAAGCAACAATAGGATAGTGTTCTGTCTATCCTGCTTTAAATATTTTATCTTTATGATTTTGTTTTTCAATTTTTTCCAGTAAAAACTAAATGATAATGATGGTATGCCTTTTAGTTTGTCAGTCTTATGTGTGCTTTTTGCTTGTATTACAGTACTGCATTCAAAGACCTCAGTGATGGTTCATATGCTGAGTCCTAATCTATTTTGATCTAGCTGTGTTAGTGTGAAAAGAATTAGATGGTTAATTGGCTTTCTGATTTATAGGTCAAAGATACATCAATATATTTGATATTAAAGAGAAATGGAATATTTGCTGAACATGTTTAGTTCAATGTAGGCAATGGTAAACAAAGGAACAACACCCAGAAAAAACACTTGAGAATAAAATATATTCCATGTAAATACTGGGAGGACGAATTATCACTATACTTGGTGTCTCTTATCCATGGGATTGTCAGTGGTCTTTGGTATGTTCTGCAAATTGGAATGACAGCCGATTGTTATTTTGCTATTCTTGGGTGTTCCTTTTGGGGAGATTGCCTATAGCTGAAAAGGGGTTTTGTAGGAGTCCATAATTCCTTGGAAAATACTGACATGGTTTGGAAGTGCAAACATCCCAGATTTGTTTAACCCATGGGTTGTTAGGGCTCTGTCTTGCCTGCTTGCAGCTTCTGCTTTGTAGCTGATTTAGCAAACGGTCCAGAAATACACCTGTTTTGGGGTTGTTTGCAATGATCTGCCAACCTGGCAGTCTGGATTACTGAGGGGGAAATGACCCGAAAGTTCTGATCTATAGTTTGCTGTTGGGTTAAAAACCTGGATTCTTTTCCTCCCAGCAACCAGAGTTCTTGGGTTGTTTTCTGAACCAGTTGCAAAGTGGAAGTAATGAGTGGGTAGATGGGGCAGCCTGCTCAGTCATCTGGTTCTAGCCAAACATGCAATCCTGACCTACCATGAGTTGGTCATTATGCCAGGTTATTGTCTTCTCATATTACAGTCCAACAGCTATGCAAAAGTGCAATGCCAGCTCAAAGGTGTGGAAATAAATTATTTAGGAAGTTTCATGTAACTTAACATTAATTAGATCAATTAGGCGTATTCTTCATACATGTGTGTGTGCGCGCACACAAACACCCCCCCTCCACTTATTCATGCTTTATTCATTTAGAAATGATCTACCTGAAATTAAGGTTGCATTTTTCATTTTACTCTTTTCTTTTTAATAGGTGTAAACCACTGGAGGAAAATGGGTCGATCTAACACTAGATCACACTCTTCAAGATCGAAGTCCAGATCTCAGTCCAGTTCAAGGTCAAGATCCAGATCTCACTCTAGAAAAAAAAGATACAGGTATCTTTCGTGCATGTTACTTGCTCTGTATTTTTTCTCTTTCAGTTTCTTACATTTGGAAATTACTGGATTTCACTCAGTCTTCAGAGTACTTGGAAAGAATCATAAATTTATTGGTTATATTTGCATATAATGTTAAACTATTTTTATGCTGACCATAATTTTATGCTTTAACCATCACTTTTCTTGTAGATGAACAACCAAAACATCTTGCTTTCCCTATTTCTGGTGTGTTTCTTTCCCACCCATTTTGTCAACCTGCAGAGTGGTTTTGTTTTCAGGCTATTCTTTCTGGACATACTTGTTTTAGGGCAGGCAGAAGCAATAAGCCAGAGTTTGGTGTTTAGATTGCATGACATGCTGTGGGTTATATAAGCCAAACTGTAAGCCAAAAAACCAAACAAACAATGGCTTATGTTTCTGATTTGCAGTTAGTTAGCAAAGCATGGTTTATTTTAGGGGTTGGATTCAAACACAGCAAGCAGATGTCAGCAAACCACTTGATGTAACATTCATTATATGTAAACCAGGTCATTGACTGCATTCAGGTATGCCTAGATGAACTTTGGACTCTTGTACCCTTCTTTGCTTCCAGAAGGCTAAAAAGAGTAGGTTAGAAGCTTTTGCTCTGTTTTCTTTAACTGTTGCTTGTTGTTTTATCTAAACAAACAAACTATTGTTAATGTTAATTATGGCTTGTTTGAAACCTGCCAACTTGAAATAGTTATGAATTTGGCTAGTTCAGGAGTCGGCAACGCGCGGCTCTGGAGCCCCAAACCCCTCTGTTGCAGCTCCGTTGCTCAAAATACTTTGGCACAGCTGCTGATCTGCTCGAAGCTCCACTCAACAACAGCAGTTCTAGCTAGTTAAGTAAATCAGCTAGTTAAGTAAATCACTACATTCCTTTGCTAAACAAGCTTCCTGCAGCCTTTCATGTTACACAAAACAAATGCTGCTGAAAAGATTTTCTTTGTTCCAATGTAATCTTCTTCATCTGAATGTTAAAAGCTGTGCTTGGGACCTGTCACAATTCACAGCACCTGACTGTTTATCTGCTAATCAGTCACTAAACACACCTATATCTCTGGCACAGCCCCTTGATCTGCGGAGGAGCTGATTTACAGAGCTCCCCCCCCCCCCACAGGCCAACCATGGATAAATGGAAGAAAAGTTTCTGGAAAAAACCATACGTTTAATGATACATGGGTAGATTCATTTGCTTTTACTGCTGACAAACGTATGGGGTTTGCTGTTTAATGCATGCAGCCCTTTAGCACTGACTTTGACTCTGCAGGAAGCTGTTCTATTCAATATATAAGAAAGGAGTCCTACTAGTTTATAATGTAAGATTAAAAATAACGGTTGTTAGTGACTGAACAAGAGCTGCAGCTAAATCATAATGAAGATATACATAGCATTAAGGTAAAAAACCGATCAATGCAGTGTTATCTTCATTTTAGATGTCAAAAGGGTTTTGCGGCTCCCAGTGTTTTCTTTTGTGTGGGAAATGGGTCCAAATGGCTCTTTGAGTGTTAAAGGTTGCCGATCCCTGGGCTAGTTTAAAGAATTCAGGTAAAATTCATGACAATTCACAGTACACATGTAATGTTAAACTGTAGTTAAATAAAAAGAAAGCAAAAGCTTCGCACTAATTACACATAGACTGGAGAGGGGACCGCCTGGAGGTCTTGCCTAGGCTGATTCACACAATGCTAAACTGGATTAGTGTGACATTTAAATGCAGCCAATAGCTTGATTTTTTTTTTTTTTTTTGACAGCATTGGGTTGATTTTCAGGAGGCAAGTTTCTGTCCTGGATACTATTGCAGGCTATAGTTGTTCAGGGAGTATTTGTAGATTATTTGCATGAGTTTATGCTTATTATACACAACTTGGGTGGTAGCCACAGAAATCTGACACAGATTTGTCTGATTAAAAAGGGCAAAATTGGAATGACTATAAAGAACACTTCAAAAACCGAGGAGAGTAGTGGCTGCAATCTGTTGTCTCATCTCTCCTTGGCAAACAGAACATATTTCATTCTGCATATTTGTGAAGCAGGAAATTTCATTCTTGATTTTTGACCTTGATGGTGCTTTTTAGAAAATTAGGAGGAGGGGTTGGGCATGCCACATGCATGATCAGAACGCTGCACGTAGTACTTTATGCATTATTTTTGGAGAATCATGAACTCTTTAGGCAGTAACATTTCTTTTTGTCTTAGTTCTAGGTCTCGGTCTAGGACATACTCACGATCTCGCAGTAGAGATCGTGTTTATAATAGAGATTACCGCAGAGATTACAGAAATAATAGAGGAATGAGGCGCCCATATGGCTATAGAGGAAGAGGTAGAGGATATTATCCAGGAGGTGGAGGTAGATATCACCGTGGAGGTTACAGACCTGTCTGGAATAGAAGACACTCCCGTAGCCCTAGACGGGGCCGTTCACGTTCCAGAAGTCCAAAGAGAAGGTCAGTCTCTTCCCAGAGATCACGAAGCAGATCTCGTCGATCCTACAGATCTTCCAGATCTCCCAGATCATCTTCATCTCGTTCTTCATCACCGTACAGCAAATCTCCTGTTTCATCCAAAAGACATGGGTCATCAGAAAAGCAAGCAAAGAAAACTGAGGCAACTGCTTTACAAGACAGCCCATTAAAAAATAAATCACAAGAGGAAGAGAAAGGTACATTTGAACATGACCCTTCTGAGACTCTAGATGAATTCAATAAATCAGCAGCAGCTTCAGGTGATATTTGGCCTGGCCTTTCAGCATATGATAACAGTCCAAGATCTCCTCATAGTCCTTCTATTGCCTCCCCTCCTAGTCAGAGTTCTTCATGCTCTGATGCCCACTTGCTCAGCACAGTTCACTCAGCAAAAGACACACCTCAGCATTCACATTCCATTCAGCACAGCCCTGAAAGGTCTGGTTCTGGTTCCCTTGGAAATGGTTCCAGCCGGTATAGCCCTTCCCAGAATAGTCCACTGCATCACATTCCTTCAAGGAGAAGCCCTGCAAAAGCAGTTGCATCACAGAATGCTCCTCGTGAGGACACTCGCATGCGTTCATTTTATCCAGAGGCTGGAGATCAGGAAACTGCAAAGGGTGCAAAATTTCTGAAAAGGTAAGGTTCAGAAAAAGTGGTTCAAATGCATAATACAGCAAGCATGTCTCTGTTGTAGCATGTGCTGTTCAGTAAAGCATGTTGAATTTCCTCTTAATTTTATTTAGCTTCTGATTTGATACCTGTGGTGTTTTCTGGATCAAGGTTGTAAGAATAAAACTGCACAGTACTACATTTAAAAAGTATGTACCTATATTAGGAATCCTGTTCTGAGCATGATTATTTCTGCATATTTTTAGAGTTTTAATAACTCTAAAATTGATGCAGGTTCAGCAGATGCTAAAAAAATTAAAAAATTCTTGAGCAGTACAGCTGAAAAATGTTCTTTTCTTTTTCACATAACTACTGCTGTTAATTAGTAAGTTTTCAAAAATTCAGGAATATATCTTTATGTGAATTTATGAAAATTCTGTGTGAAGTTGCTGGGAATTGCAGTTCAATTATCTGGCAGCCACTAGGCTACTGTAGTTGGTTTGTCAAATTTAACTGGCTGCTTGACAATGTAGGCTAGTAGGATATTTTCTCGTTGATAAAGTTCTTGGTTTTGTTTATGATAATGTGCCTGTTGAAGTCTGAATGAAAATCAGAAATTTGTTGTAACTTCCTTTGGAAAAGTGAATTAGTTGGTAATTTCCCTGAGATACTGTGTAGGACTGGTTGCACAGTTCTGTTTCACTGTATAATTACTGGAATATTTTCTACTGATGTAATTTTAAAAAAAAAAGAACGAAGAGTCTGTTTGCTAAGTGATGTATAATAATATGTGATGTGCAAATATAATGGAACACTAGAAATGAAATAAAATAGAAATAAAGTACTTTTAATATCTACAAGGACAGATACCCCAAATTATATTCTGTTGTTTCACTGGATGTTTTGACCAAAATTACAATTTAGTTTATTCAGAATTTAATCATGTTCCATTATAATATTTGATTTAATCATGGCAAAATCCTCTGAGATAAAATTGGATACAGATACTTTTGTTCTGTCTTGAATATCAAACTTAAACATAAGTTTTAAAAGAGCACTTTAACTTTCCTGTCAGGTAAAACATAGAGGTACTGAATTTGCATGAGAAATCACTTTAGAATCCAAAGAGTTATTGTTTCTTTTAACATTTGAAATATTTCTTATAAGCACTAGTTCATATGTTAAAATGTTATAATCACATAGATTAATTTGCATTGAGAATTTAATTTTGTGGTGTTGGTGCACCAAAACACAAATATTACTGAACTGGAATGAAAGCAACCAGGAGTTATTCTCCTTCTTTTTGCTGTCCACAGGTACACAGATGAAGAGTCTAGAGTATACCTGCTTGATAGAAGTAATGCTAGGGAGAAAGATGCTCAGAAGGAAAGAGGGTCAGAGAAGGGGAGGACAGAGGGAGAAAGAGAGTGGGAGGATCAGGAAGCTTTGGAATATTATATGGACAAAGAGTCTGGAAAACAAAAATTTAATGACTCTGATGGGGAAGACACAGAGGAGACTGAAGATTATAGACAGTTCAGAAAGTCTGTTCTGGCAGATCAGGGTAAAAACTTTGCTGCATCTCACCGAAATGCAGAGGAGGAAGGTGCCAAGTACAAATCTAAAATCTCTATAAAAGCAAATAGAGAAAATGAAGGATTTAGGGAAGATAAAGGTTACAAACTTAAAGAGACAACTAACTATGTAGTGGAGAGACCTACTGTACCAAAAGAAAAGCACAAAGAAGATGAGAAAATTTCTGAGAGAATGATGAAGAAAGAAACCCAGTCACCTGAGCAGGTAAAGTCTGAGAAGCTCAAAGAACTCTTTGATTATAGTCCTCCCCTGCACAAGAATTTGGATGCAAGAGAGAAAACGACCTTCAGGGAAGAGAGCCCACTTAGGATCAAAATGATAGCCAGTGACTCCCATCGACCTGAAGTTAAACTTAAAATGGCACCTGTGCCACTTGATGATTCAAACAGGTAATTATTCTACTTTGTATTAGTTTTCCATTATCCATCAAGGAGTTGTCTTTTCTTAAATCTTTGTTTTCATTTTTGTGTTACATACTTAGACCAGCTTCCTTGACGAAGGACAGGCTGCTTGCTAGTACACTTGTCCATTCAGTCAAGAAGGAGCAAGAGTTCCGATCCATCTTTGACCACATTAAGCTACCACAGGCCAGCAAAAGCACATCGGAGTCATTTATTCAGCACATTGTGTCCTTAGTTCATCATGTCAAAGGTAGGTTGTGAATTTACCTTGTAAAACAAGTGTTACATGGCATTAGAAGTGCAAAAGTATTGAGATGAATCTATTGAAAAAACAGCCCTTCTTTTTTCAAGTAGACTTCCCTACATAACTTCATTTATAGGGCTTTAAACGTTACATAGCATTCAAAGAAAAGTATGTACATTACATATTTAATATGTCATAATTGTGACATAATTTAACTTGCATTTTTACTTTTCTCTCTAGATTCTAAGGAGAAGGGGAAATGAAGATAAAAAAGATATGTGGGTATAGGGTAAAGGAAGATGATAGGAATAATACCAATGGAGGTGCAGAGGAGGGAGTACTAAAGGATACAGAAATAAAAAAGAGGGGGTACCAAGTGAGGCTTTATAGATCTCAGAGGGTAGGAAAAAGGAATAACTGTGAGAAGGAGGTTACGTTCTGTGGTCATCCAGAGAGAGAGAAGTGAACATGCTATGAAGCATATAGAGAGTTAGTAGAAAAGGATAAAATGAAAACATAGTTTAAGTAGTAACCTGGTGGCTAATGTAGTGATATGGCCCTGAGCTAGTAAAAATATAAAAGCAGTATTTACTGTGATTCGAATTATGTATCCATGGCATAGGGTGTGATGCTAGTTACTTGCATGTCCATCTGGTTTGCAGCTGTAACTTTTTGAGATTTCATTGTGTCTGTACTTGAATGATTTTCGCTTGTTACACTAAATGGTGACTTACTGTAACAGAGACATGGAGCATAACTCCTATATGCACTGTCTCATTCCAGTAGATATTTTGTTGTATTAAAGTTAAGGATCTAATTTCATTAATATGATATAGTTTAGCTTCATAAGACATTGATGAAGTAGCTTTGCATTTGTGTAGCCATTGTTGTCCTACAGCAATATAGAGACTTTAAGCAGCTTATTTATACCTGTGCAGGTTTTTGATGGCACCTGATGTATAGAGGAAGTATATGGGTGTGTGTGGCTAGGTTACTTAGGTGAGCTCCTACCCTCCCCCCCACACACCTCCTGCCTTCCCCCAAGGTTGCAAATGTACCTTGAAGGGCAGAGAAAGGAGCATGTAGGGGAAGACAAGTGGCTGGGGCCAAGGATTTAAGTCAGTTTCTGTCAGTGTCTTAGCTTACTTCTCTCTCCTTCCCTTATGTAAATAGCTGAAAATGTGTGTAGATAAAATTCTGGGTGCAAGGCACAATAGTGGTGGTAATCGTCACTGCTATGCCTTGTTCAGGGTGTAGGATGCATTTAAGCATCCATGTTCAGAGAATTATGTGTATTGAGAGCAGGGTTAATAGGACTGTGCTCTGAATGTGTGTTGTTTTAATTATTTACATGTATTAATTTAGTATGATTTAATTTTCCTCCACAAACATTTCATGTCAAACACTTGTGGTGTATTGGGATAAGAAATAAACATGGGGTACTTCTGTTAGTGAAATAAACTTAATTATTTTTCTCTAGGGTGATCTGAATCTGAGCAAACTGATTTTTTCCGGTGCAAATTATCTTAGGCATTTTACCTAGCTCAACATTTTGCAGAAAATACATGTTACTTGTGCTAAGTGAATAATTCTCTTTAAAGGCTTCCATGCCTCCCAAGTGAACCCTCCTCTTCCATCCCAAGGCATGGGGACAGTTCCACTGAATATTATGAAAGGGTATCAAGGTTATGTCACTTGAGAGTCACAGAGAGCAGTCACATGGTACTGGTCCAACTTAAATGCAGTGGAACTCAAATACAGTGAAGGATAGAATGGCAGATCATTCATCTTAGTCAGACTTTCTTATTATATAGAACAAAGAGTTGTATTTTAAATTTGTTCAGGGATAGGCTAGACATGCACATCTTAGGCATGTCGTGAGTAGAGCTGACTAGAGCTGGGGGTCAGACTAGATGGTCCAGGAATTCCCTTCTGACTCGCTCTGTTTCTGTGTTTCTAAATTGACAATGTAAAGTTTTTTGACCAGGATTGACTGACTGATTCTGCCGTGGGGTCCGGGGGGATCTAAATTGTTAAGTTTCTTTCATATCACTAGAAATGTACATTTAAAGTCCAAGACACTCTTACTAGAAACTTTTGTAGCTGATAGCTTTGTGTATTTCTCAAAGTGGTTATAGTCTCTTCTATCCTAGTTAGAAAGCTGCAATTTGGTAAAGATGTTATTTAAGACTTACCTGGGAAACCAAAGCCATCCATGAAAGAGAATAGGGTTGTTTGCATGTTATGCACATAACCCATACTGTCCATTTTTGGATAGCATAATAAGCCATTATGCATGTGTGGTGCAGCTTGCATATTTTAAAATGACAGGTGGCATGCATTGCAACCCACTGTGGTTTAAATCAGCATTGCTGAGGATGCAAATCATGTTACCACTCATGAGGAGGAATGCTCCATGGAGAAGCCTTGGGATTGTATGTTCTGCCCTTCCCCCACATGTCCAGGAGGAAGAGTTTGAAAGCATTGTCTCATGATTCGGCATGGTTTGTCAAGATGTCTTATGTAACTGGTTTATTTCAGAGAAGTCAGTTACAGCTTCATCCATTATGGAGCTGGCCTGTTGAGATTAAGCATAGTTAGTCTTAAACACAATATAGCAAACTGTGTAATTTAAAGCAAAAGTGAAAGATTCCAAAATTGTCTCCCTTGGAGCCAAGAAAGAAGAAAGGTGAAGGGAGAGCTTGCAAGGTTGAGGCTCACTGGTTTTTGTGCAGCTTGCTAAACTGTGGATTAGTGTGACCATGCAAAATCAGTTCTTTTGTTCTGTCAGACATTTGAATCAAGCTGAGTTTGGAGGAGGAAGATTTCAGTAGCAGATAGGAAAATAATTGTTCAGCTGAATTTTGTAGCACAGCTATAATATGATAGTTTTCAGTTGTGGATTGATACTTTTTCTAAGGAACAAGCAGTTAAGAAGGGAACATAAGTACAGTGGTACCTTGGCTCACGAATGCCTCAGTTCATAATCAAATCGGGTCGCGAACAGAAATTTCAGGGAAAAATTGCTTCAGGTCACAGACTCCACATTGGGTGATGACCATGATTGCAGCCATCTCCCCCCCCCCCCCCCGAGCACGATCACAATCGTGGCCATCTTCCTTGTTCGTGGTCGCAGACAGACCTGTGGTCACTTGCTGTGAAGCTTATTGAATAATGGATCCAGAGAAAGTGCAGAGCAAGCATGGTGGTAAAAAGAATGTGTAGAGTGGTATTAAAGGTGACAAGAACGTGCAGATTTTTCACCAAAATTGACCCTGCAGCTAAGAGGCAAGGATGAAAGGAAACCCTTGAAAGAGATCTCCCCAGTGTCCTTATGGAGGGGGAACTCTCCCTCCAAACAAAAACCTCCCCCCACCTAGGTTAGTGTTCTCTACTGTACTGTACTTTGTTACTTTGTTGTTTATTACTTTGTTTCAAAATTTTGTGGTGAAAAAAATTACAGAACAGATTAACCTTATTTAAATTGAACCTTATGGGGAAATTTAACTTGGCTTGCAACCAAAATCGGTTCGCAACTGCATTCATGGGGTCAGAATGGATTAACCTTATCTGCATTGAACCTCATGACCAGAGCTGTAGAGCAGACTAAATTCATGAGCCGAGATACCACTGTAGGTGCCTTTCACTTGTGTGGACTATTCATTCATCCCTCTGACTGGTAGGATTTTGAGCAGGTCTCTCATATAATTTACAAGCTGATCCTTTTTTAAGCAATAAATCCCAGGGATAGAACCTGGGACCTTCTGCATACAAAGCACATGTTCCATTATTGAGCTATATCTTCACCTGTATTTGAACAATATACATGTGCAGATGTTTTACTAGTTCATCACTGTCATTAAGTATTATGATTTCTAGTGGATCTGGTAGATCCATGTCCTGGATGGTATCAACTCTTATACAGGACAACAATATTATCTGCATTGCTTTTTCTTACCAAAAGCTAATTATATTTGGGTTAAACAGTGAAGTATCACATGGATACATTCAAGAAGTATGTAGTGGTTCATTGACAAGATCCCTAGCAGTCATGTGAAGTGGGACATGAATTTCTAAAATCAGCTGATTTATTTTCTTGAAACTTCTTTACTTAGATTTTGTTTATCTCACTGCACTGGCTTTGAAGTTATGATTGTTCCTCAAGGGAATACTGGACAATAGAGTTTCCACTTAAGTAAAGGATTTATTTTGGTCTTGCTATAATGGATGTATACACTTGGATTTAAACCTAGAAAGGGTTCTGCTCAGGAATGCTCCCACTGGTTGGAAAGGGGTGGGGATTTGACTTCTGCAGTTCTCTTGCATCCTTGAAAAATCTACTCTGAAGGGTTGGGTAACTATTTGAACACTGCAGTAAGGACAAGTAGGGGGAAGTAGCAGAAATTGCCTTCTTGTACCAGTGGGATTGTACTGCCGGGTCAAAAGCTTTCCGTGAAGACTGACAATTCCTTCCATTTAAGGAAGGTTCCATTGGAAATAATCTCTTAGCTTGTCATGGTTTGTTTGCAGATATGCTGCAATAGTCAGTTGAACCTCCACATAATTTATGCAAAATTAAAAATGGCAAGCCATATTTTAATAAGACCCCCACTACCACACACACACTCACACCCCACCACAATACTTATTTGTCTGGAAAAGGTGGGGATACCAACTGGATTTATACTGCTCTTCAAGAATTTACAATTTCTTTTTTTGCTAATGGTTAAAACTGAGAAAAAGCAAGTTAGGAAATCTTTGAAATTACATCAGCTGGAGAGAGAATTTAGATTATTTTCAGTATGCATATAGCCTATTACATATTTCACCATTTTAACTACTAGTTTGTAGCCAGTTTATTGATACATTTGTAGCATATTTTGCTTCCTTAAGGTATTTAAGTCTGTCTACACACTTTGAAAAGAAATTGTGAATCAAGTTTGGGTAAAGGTGAAGTAGTGATTTTACATTATTGGTGCAATGCCGCTAGACTGAACAGCTCTTTACTAATATAGAGCTGAAAATGCCCAGTGATGTTTTCTTTTTCATTGCAACTAGGTCCTGGAATATGTAATGGCAAAATCCATGTAACAAAAGTAAAATAGCTGTTGAAAGATAACAGATGCAAAACAGGCAAAGTTGAACCTTCTATCTTCCTGGCAAAAAAGGCACAAAAACTGAGTTGCTAGCTCAAATTCCTGTGTTTGATGGAATTATGATTGAGGCACTACCCTTGTAGTGGCCATATCAAGTTTTAATGATTGGTTGTGAGAGATATGCTGGATGTTGGGCGGTAAGTTGATACAGATGTACAACTGTATTAAGCAGATAGCTTGCTTTGTATGTACCATTTGATAGATCTTTATAATTTTATACATTTTTCCATTTTACCTTTAAGCACATCTGTTGAACTGGTCTTTCAAATTGTAGTGTGTTACTTTAATAGCCCTGGATTTTATAAACATAATATTTGAGAAGGTGCCGCTGTTAGGATCATAGCTCTGGCCTGAAAAAAAAAAAAGATTGTGTTTAAGAAATAACTTTGTTTATCTTCATCCAATGTTTCTTGTCTGTAAATAAGTCCAGTGAAATTCAGGAGGGCTAATTCCAACATAGTTGTGCATAAGATGACAGCATTAATCAAGAATACATCTCTGTAGATGCATCAGATAATTTAAATGCCAAAGCAGCTCTCTTTAAAATAGCAACATTTCCCCTTACAAATATATATATATAAATATATATATATCAAAGTAATCTGCTCCTGTCGGCAAAACACAAATTCAGAATAAATGTCTCACCCATTAAGGTTGTGATTCTTGAATCAAAAGTGGTACTAGCAGTGAATATGTTTAAGGAAATTGTAAGATGTGAGCGTTGCCATCTTGGTATACTCTGAAGAACTGGGAAAAATAATTATTGTCTTGAATATTTTATGAATTACTTTGCCTCTTCTACATCCTGGAATGAGAAGTAGACGTGCCTAATTTAACTAGACAGTATTTGTTCTCTGTAACCAACAGAGCAGTATTTCAAGTCAGCTGGAATGACCCTAAGTGAGAGGTTCACTGCTTATCAGAAGGCTACTGAAGAACATAGCACCCGGCAAAAGAGTCCTGAAATACACAGGTGTGGTTTTACATTACACTTTCTGCTGCTTGCCTTGCTGAAATAGATACCCACCCACCAAATGATACATAACTTCTTAGTTATGCCAGTTTTTCACTTAAGGGAAACATGGAACCGGAGTGTAGCAGATATTCTTGGGTAAAATGGGTAGCACATTGGTTGTGGTAGAAAAGTAACATGTGATACGGCATTTTGTTCAGCAGTTCAGGGAGTTTTGGAATGTCTATTGGTTATTATAATATTTTGACATGAACCTAAGCAAGTTGTTGTTTCCAGGTATTCAGATACAAACAGGCTGTATGGGCATTATTATATATGTATGTATTGTATGTATATATATAAGTGAATGAAGTGAATCCTAAATGTATATAAGTGAAATCTGACAAATGATGGATACCAATGTTCTAGTCAGTTTACTCTGTGTGTTCTTTATTTTTGTGTTGTATTGGTATGTTTGCTTTTTTAAGTAAAAGGCATTTGGGTCGCATTCATGTGGGTTGTGCCCTTGTCTCCCTGCCCAGTGAAGCATGTCCTATTCTGAGTTCTTTCCCACCTCTAAGAGCAGTTAGTTTGGTTCTTTCCATAACTTTTATGAGAGAGAGGCAGGTCAGAGCTCTGGTTCTGTTTTCCGCAGTTGGAGTGTTACCTCTGACAATCAAGAAATCTGAAATATTGTATGTACCTTCAGACCTTGTCTAGGGAGCTGTTGGATTAGCTCCTTAAACTTTCTAGTTTAAAATTTCCTCAACTGCTTTTCCCTAGGAGGGAAATACTGCATTACCATTTTTATTAGCATTGCTGTTTGTAAAGTTCACTATGACCTGGTTTGTATGACAGGACAATCCATTATAGATAACTAGCTAGAGTGGGGTGCCCTATAATCCAGGGGTTACTTGTCTTTGATCACAAGCCCTCCTGACAACCAATCTCGACAACCCATGGCTTATTCCAGGGGCTGTTCACTCCACAATGTGTTGCCATGTCATCCATACTCAGGAGAGTAAATTCATCATGGATTGTGGGGAACTGCTAGTGAGCCACAAAACCTCTGTCCTTTTTTGGGGGGGGCGGAGCTGTTGTCCTTGTTGCTGCGAGTGATAGTCCTTCACCAATGCCCAAGTGGCACTTTAGAGTGTTCATCACTGATTCATCACTTTATCCTCCCCCCCCCCCATTGCATATAAGCATTTGTATTGCTTCTGCTGCTTTCTACAAGTGTGCTTTTGCAGTTGTCCAATATGTGGTTTTGTCTTGTCAGTTTGTTTATTTGAGTTGTCAAAGGGAATGAAAGAGCGGAATAGGTAACATATGGAGATTGACAAAGCAAGACTACATATAGGCTAATTGGCACAGGATTGCCAAGGTCTGGTTGCTGGCATGTCAGTAGAAAAGTACTGATAGGGGGAAAGAAGTGGCAAAACTGGTACAGCAAAAGGGAGGTGGAGCAAGATTTCCACTTTGTTAGTATGATCTGATTGCTTTTATGTGTTGAACTGTTACTTTTTAGTTCTCACTACCTTTTCAATACTTCCCCAAGTCTCTGGCTACTCCGGAAAGGGGTAATATTGTCTCTTGTTTTTACAGCTCCTTTTTGGAGTGCTTCATAGAAGGTAGGGGGAGACAGGGTGGCTTCTGTCATGAAGAACCCAGGATACCAGATGAAGGGGCAAGGTGGGAGAGAACAAGCCATAGTGAGTCTGATAGTCTGTTGGCCACAGCTTGGATTGTTCTGTGAACCAATCCAGGCAGCATAGTTTATTTGCAGTGTGGCTTACCAGGTAGTACAAACTTACCTGATGTGTAATAGTTTATGTTTAGAATTGTATTCTTACATATATTTTTGGAAGTGTATGTTGACTTTTAAATTGCTTCACTTTTAGATTGCACAATGGGACTTCTTCTTTTGTGTTTCCAGTTTTCCACTTGACAGATGAATGTTGGCAGCCATAATGATTACTTTTAAAAATCTTGCATTTAGGAGGATTGACATCTCTCCAAGTGCCCTGAGGAAGCATACCCGTTTAGCGGGAGAAGAGAGAGCCTTTAAAGAAGACACTCAGAAAGTAGGTTCTGAATCAACATTTTTCTCTTAGAAATGCCTTTATGTTAAAGGCATCCAGTGCAGTTGGAATTCGTGTCCAAATACCAATGACAATTTAAAAAAATTTTGCTTTTATATTTTTATGCCATAAGTGGTGTTGGGTCAGATCTTGTACTAATCATTTTGAAGGATGCTGTAGACCTATTTTGTGCAAACTGATTCCTATTGTGCTCATTTTTGCCGAAATCGGAGACAATAGGGCTGTTCACACATAACACTTAGGAATACCATGGAGTTACCTTACCTATTTTGCCTTGTGTCCTGTGTTCACACATTCATGAAGTAACTATTTATGAGTAGTTTCCATGTGCCTCTGTCTTCCTTCCAAATGACACTACCTGCCCATCAGCCCCCACAACGGGAACCAGTCTTAGTAGACATTATTCCTAACTGTGGCACCAGCCTCTCCCCCATCAGCCTACACACTCCCCTGAGCATGTTCTCAGCCAACGGGCACTTTTTTCCCTCTGCTTCTTTGTGGCACTCTCATCTACTCATCCATACGGCAGTGGGTGCCCAAGAGCAACAGAGCAGTGACCAAGTAGTTCTCTGCACGTCTGCCCCCACCAGCACTGCTGCTATAGCTGCTCCCTCCTGGTGTATGTTCCCTGATGCTTGGCTGCTGCACCTACCTTTCCCCTTTTCGCCACTCTGCCACTCACCACCTTGTTTACTTTGCTGGATTACCTGCCTTACCCCACCACCAGGTTGTCTGCCTCACACAGTCTGGCCAGGTTGCTGGGATGCACTCTGTGATGACCTGCCTCTTGCATGAGTTGGGAACATGTCCCTGCCTCTTGCATGAGAGGCAGAGACAAGGGAACAGCACATGAGAACTGTGAGGTGGCCAAGCTGGCATCACAGCAAGTTGGCCAGGCAGAAGGTGATCTGGCAAAGCAGCATATGAAGTGGTAAATCTGGCTTTGTTGTTATGTTTGAATACAACCATTGGGTTGCATCCAATCTTACTGTTCCACTAATGGAAGGGATCCACAGGAAGAATTGAGTTTTCCCCTGTGTGGGTTGGGGGACCCTCCTATCCTGGTCTAGAATGCACAAGAGAACAAAGGGGAAAAGAGAACAGAGGGGGGCAGACAAGCAGAAGTCCTGCTGCACAGACTTCCATTAATTATCAGCCTCCTTCATGGAGCAAGTGAATTAAAGATATCTTTAGACTGTTCAAGTAATAGAATTAAGAAGCGATTATACTGGAGCATTGTTCAGTTGGTATTTTTTTCAGGGTCTTATTTATTTTTTTCAACTGTATATTTTTATCAGAATTACAGCTAAACTCTTCAAAAAGATTAGTTCAATTATCAAAAAAAGCTTACTAAAATTGTAAAAGCACTGTTTGGAATAGAAGTATGTTATCATTTATATTGTTAGTTAACAGATAATCCTGCACATGTTTCTTTTCAAGCCCCGCTTTATTCAGTCAAATGCCAAACAATATTCGTTGGATTGAAAGCAAAGAGATTACATTCTTTTAATGTTTTTTGGTACTAAAATACTGCACTAAAATGTGTCTGATCTAGGGAGATAAAAAATTAAAGTGTGATGCTGCTGATCTTCGACATGACATCGACCGTCGTAGAAAAGAACGAAGTAAAGAACGAGGAGACTCTAAAGGTTCCAGAGAATCCAGTGGATCAAGGAAGCAGGAGAAAATTCCAAAAGATTACAAGGATTATAAATCTTATAAAGATGACAGGTAAGAGGCTTAACTCCTGTAACTCCTCTTTTTAGCTTCTAATTAGACTTTTGTAATTGTAAGCTTAATTGCTTTCAGTTTTCACTGTACAATCGAACATCTAAATTTAAACAATTAAAATTATTTGTTTTACAGCAAAAATGTATTTGTCTTTTACACGGCTTATGGTGGATGAGGACAAAAACTTTGGAATAGCAAGCTAACACTGAAAAAAAATGACAAATTAATCTGTCCTATTATCCAGGCTACATCAGGAGGTTGGACTTCAATGCAGTACATTTCTGTAAACAGTTTGTGTAAGAACTTTGGTTCGTTATGCTTGATTCCGCACTTTTTCAACTCATAACACCCAGATTATGAGCTTTTTACTAAAGTGTAGGCTTAGTGTGGAGGGGGAGGGGGTTGGCAAGAGTTGTTGTTTTACTGAAGACAGGGAGTGGGCTCAAAGAAACAGGTTAGTCATTAAAAGAAACTTACTCAATGTGTACTTGCAGCAATAATAAGAATTACTTCAGGTATATCTACATTTTGGGTTTGGTATTAATATTTAAATATGGTCAAATCATTGCCAAATGTATGTGTTATGGGGAACCTGAATATGAAGATCGTATTTATTATTTTGCTCTTCTACTTACTTAATTGTGTGTACTTGCACTTGTTTGTTTTTTTAACCTGATGTCCATACAACTGTCAGTTGCTGATTAGTTCCACATCTTATGTTTATGTAGTGAAAAGGCAATACAATATTTTTTTTTTTTACTTCTTGGTAAGATATGAAAAACAGATTCAATAGTATCACTTCAGAAAATGTATCCTTAGGGATTTTACCTACCCATTTTTCTCTTTTGACCATAGAAAAGCATTGTGTGTACATATATATTAGCTGTTCTTGGTTAGCAAGATTAGTTGCTAATAAGACCTTAGCTATTAGAAAGTTATAGTGGAAACTGAATGGTGTAAGAACTTCATATGTCAAAGAAGAAGAGAGAATAGCTTCTAAGGGTACAGAAGTTTAATTTTATGGATAGGATGCAACAGCAAACAGTATGGTTTCTTATTTTTCAGTAAACAAAAAAGAGACCAAGACCGTTCTCGATCTTCCTCAACTTCCTCCCCATCTTCCTCCTCATCCAGTTCCCGAGAAGAAAAGGACTGCAAGAAAGAAAGAGATGAAGAGTTTAAACCACACCATGAACAGAAAGAATATCCAGGCTTTACAGGAGTTGGAAGACCTAGAGGCACATTTGTGAGTTTCTGCCATGCTTTTTCTGATATTATATTTTAAGAAAGTCATTATTATTATAGCTGCTGAATTCAAGTTCCGGGGTGCAGTTGTTTTTATTAAATTTGGGACACTGAGAACTCATTCAGAAGCATTTTCTGCTGTGAGGGTATAGTAGTTTAAACTAGGCGAACAGATGCATAACAACTCAGGTTAAAATAACATAAGATGCATAATAATTTTCATTATACCTCCAGGATCTACTGCTGTTTTTTCACAATGAACTTCCACATATGCAAGATAGTAATTATTTTAAATAATTTGGAAAACCTGATTGTAAATACTACAGAATAATTTTCTGTATGTGTTTAAAAACCCAAGCAGGACTTCTGATCCAGAAGCAGTTAACTATTCTGTGTGCATTCTCCTTTTTATCAGTGCTTCCTTTTGCACTAATTTATTATCTCTATGTTTCTTTTTTACGGTTTCTTTCATAGAAACTTTGTTTTACTTTGTGGTCTTTAAAAAAATAAAGTGTGTATTAGGAGTAGCTAAACTCCACAAGAAAGGTGCTGGCTATGTCACACTCTCACAGTTAAGTAATGTCCAGGAACTGCAAATGCCAAACTTGAGGCCCTGAAACTTTCAAAGCTACAGATTTTGGTTCCTTGGCTGTCTGGTTTCTTGAGCTTCCATGTTTATGCTTTAACTGTGCATTTGGAATTGACTAAGATAACTAAACCCTTCCTGTAGAATATTATGATTTATCAAGAGTGCATAGAATAAGATAAAGTAATTTAAGGGATCACATCAAATTGGTATGTTTGGTTTTGTACAACTGGTATTTGTAAGAGTGACATTAAAAGTTGTACACATATTAAAAATAATAATGCAACCTTCCAGTTTTAGAATGCCTATGCATGCTAGAGTATAATAAGCAATAATATGTAAAAGTATAAACAAAAAATGACAAAAATGAATTGGGACTGGATATCATTCAGTGTTACATTCATTTATTCTCTTTTTTTTAAAAAACTACTGTTTGATAGCAAATAAATATATTGAAATAGGTGAGATCAGCAACAGATGCCCTAACTCCGGGAACCCTCTGTGAATGATATTAGGAGGGTGAGTACCCAGAGGAGGGCTTTCTCTGCGGTGGCGCCCCACCTATGGAATGCGCTCCCCAGAGAGGTCTGCCTGGCGCCGTCGTTATTTGTTTTTCGGCGCCAGGCTAAAACCTTTTTATTTAAAACTTATTTTAAGTGTTAATTTATTATGTAGGATTTTTTAAAAAAATTTAAGCCGAGATGCACCGGGGTTTTAATATTTTTAGTGTATAATTTTTGTATGATTTTGTTTGTTTTTGTTGTGAGCCGCCCCGAGGCTTTGTTGCGATGGGGGCGGCATAGAAATGTTTTAAATAAATAAATAAAATTGATTACTTGAACACGCTACTAAAACTTTTGCTTTACTTTCTTCACATTTTCTCAAATACAGTATCATGTATACGTCCTAATCTGCATTGCCATAAGCAAATTCTCTATATCTTTTGTTTTTTATTTACATTTAAACAAATCTGTTTAAGAGCAAACACTTTAGACACCAGTTCAATACAGCCTTTGGTTTTTAACAGCAGTTGCTTTACCACATCCTGCCTCACTTCCTTAAGACTATATTATTATATTGAATATTCTAAGGATGTTACAGAGGTCTAGTTTCAAGATCTTCATAGTACTTAATTTGGATACATACTGTAGATGGTGGCTTTGACACAATATACTAATAGTTTTTTTTCCCCTGCAATCAGCATTGGGTCCCATACTGTTCTCCATTATGAGAGACCCTTGTGCATATGCAATCATGAATTAAGTCATTGAAAATGACAGTGAAGCAATGACTTAGACAGAACAGTGGGTCTTGCCAGGCCAGCAAAAAAATGTTTTTGAGGATTGTGTCTAGAATACTACTTCAAGTTAATACAGTTAGTACATTAACTTTTTACAATTCAGTCTCTACATCTACTTCAGTTAAAATACTTTATGCGTACTAGGTCCTTCCTTTTGTGCATTTTTCTGGTGAATATTCTAGACTGATAGACTCATTATTATTGTTCATTGCAATATGTTCACTCAGCAGCATCCCTGGGTGGAATTCTGCACAGAACATTCCTGCTCACAAAAAGTAGTAGGAAGATTATTTTGGCTGATTCTTTCCTCCCACTGCTATCTTCAGCATCTGCTCCCTTATTTTGGAGGGTTCCCTACCCTCCAGAGCAGTAGGAACTGCACAGCGATGGTGGAATTGGCAAAGATTACCTCCTGCTCCATTCAGCCAGTGGAAAAGTTCTGCTTTGTCAAAAATCTGTCAACAGAAAGAATTCTTTTGTTTGCAGGATGCTATTGTTGGATCTTACCTTTTATGAAATGTCTCATTTTCAAATATTACTTATTGGAAGTATGTGCCTTAGGTAAACCAATCCCCTCATACATAAATTATTGTCTGCTAAACAGAATGCTGTTACTTTAAAGTGGCCATAAACATCTGCACATTGATTCTTAAGCCACTTCATTGTGTGTGGTTGTAGCTCAAGAATAACAAAGCATTTTAGTTAATGCATTAGGTATTTATCATTTGCTTTTAAATACATAATTATTAAAAACATAAATGCTTTGGTTAATCAGTTTCGAATTAGGGGCAGAGGAAGAGCCAGAGGCGTGTTTGCTGGAACAAATACTGGTCCCAGCAACTCAAACACTACTTTTCAAAAGAGACCGAAGGAGGAGGAATGGGATCCTGAATATACCCCAAAAAGCAAGAAATACTTCTTGGTGGGTGTCATACTGTTATGCATGCATCTTTTTCTAAAGCTTGTCTTTATAAACAAATTTTATGGGAGCAACTATCTACTTCTGTCATTTCAAAAATTTTACCTATGTCTTACACTTTGAGTGCCAGAACTTGTGTTTACTTCTGTATCCATTTGCAGAAATTGTTAGGAAATGACTTGCTGTAGAAGAAGTGGTAGGCAACTAGGTGCCCTCCACCTGTTGTGTACTATAGAAGGCATAATACCTGACTGGTTATTCTGGTTGTGGCTGATGGGAAATTATAGTTTAAAATGTCTGGAGGGTTCCCGTTGCTTATACTTAATTGACAAAGAACAGGTTTTAGAAGAACTAGGCTGTATAGTCTGCAATAAACAATTTTATAAAAATGTCCTTGTCCTGAACATTTCATTCTAATATCTGTAAGTGTGAGGGCTTTGGTTTTCCTCAGAGCGATGAAGGCAAAAATTATAATTCTAGTCCCATTGCTTTTTGTTGAATAGTAATGTTTAGGTGTTTGTTTCATATATTTTATATAATGATGGTTGTAACTTTGACGTGCCAGTTCATTGATCGTGTTGTCATCCTTCAGAAGAAGGCAACAGTTGATCAAGTTTAAGAGGGAGAGGAAGAAATTGCTTGTCATATCACTATATTCCTAGTCACCACTGCTGCCAGTTTTGAAATCTTGCTCAGACTCTTGGTGGTTGTTGTTTTCCTTTGGTCTCCCCAAAGAAAACTAACTCAACCTCAAAACCAAACCTAAAACCTGTATTGAGGCCAGGTCTTGGGAGGGGAGGTATTATGTTGCCTTGCCTTGTTCTCTCCTGCACTTACCTGCAACCCAGTTCTAGTTTCTTGGGGTAAGGAGCAGAAATTGCCCACATTTTTACATTAGAACAGCTTTCATGAGGTAGAAGATGAGGTACTTCTGCTTCTCATATAGCCATGTCATTGTTAGTCAGGTCATAAAATGTCAGGTAGTGGGCAGACTTACTTTCTCAAACCTCTGCCTTCAAGTTTGCCTCCATTTTTATATTTCATAAAGTATTACCAGTCAATCAGGAGCTATAGGTAAGATAATTAGAGCACAGATATATATTCAGACAAGAAGGATAGTAGAAATTTCTATAAAGAAGAATTGGATAATTAGCTTTGCATCTAGGTACTCCAACTCTGTCCCAGCACTTTTATAATTATTAAAATAGAACATTTACCTCAATAGTAAAGCATGTGCTTTATGCACTCTATGTTCAATCTCTTGTCATCTCTTGTTAAACAATCTCTTGTAGCAGGGATGAAAGAGAATTCTGCCTTAGCCAACAAACTGACCAATGGTCTAACTTGGTATAAGGCATCTTCGTATATTTGTATTGTAAAAGAACTACAATGCAATTAAAATCATCAGCTAAGCAGAAGAAGTCCTTTGAGATATTTCTTTAGGGTAGCCTCTTAAAAGTGTGTTCAAGTTTTCATTTTCCTTGTTTAATCCATGTTTTCTCTAGCATGATGACAGAGATGATGGCGTAGATTACTGGGCTAAAAGAGGAAGAGGCCGTGGTATTTTCCAGCGTGGCAGAGGAAGATTCAACTTCAAAAAATCAGGTAGCAGTCCAAAGTGGACACATGACAAATACCAAGGGGATGGGCTTGTAGAAGACGAAGAAGAAACAATGGAAAGTGAAGACAAAGAGAGGCGCAAAGATGAAAAGGTAGGTTTTTCTGGTTGATCAAGTTTTTTAAAAAAATTTCCTTGTGTATTGGTAATTGAATTATAAATGACAAAATACTGCAGTCTAATGGCACAAATGTTTATATCTTTTCTTGCACAGGAATAATCAATATGAAGACCAGTTGCAGCTGAAAAACTATGCGTCATCTACACAGCATTTTTAATATGACTTGTCGTCAAATGAATGTAAGCATTTTACTTAAATTTTACTGTTGGAGAGTAGTTTAGTTTAGTTTTGGTTTTGTTTCTGTTTTTGTTTTAATACTTTTGCAGTCTCACTATAGTAATTGTTGATGAATATACAAAAGTAAATAGTAAAAGTAGAATACTATTTGTCATGATCAACTTTTTAAACTGTTTACTGTTATGAGCAGTGTAACTTTGTTTTGTCCAAAAGATATGATCAAAACCCTGAGAGTTGTACTTCATTGCCCTTTCCACAGCTGTGTTTTATTCTGGAGTAAGCCTTAGGTTTGCACATATAAATCTCAAGGCAGCATTTTAAAATAAAGCTGTACTAAATCTCAATCCTATGCTGGAGTTAGTAATTTACTGAGGTTTTTGTTTTTGTGGCTTATGTTTAAATTATAGTGTAATATTACTTGGTCTGATTTGGGGTGGAATGCTGATGCTTGTTTAATTCAGCCACCTAACATATGAACAGGGCTGCAAAAGTAACATTTTGCAATCGGTTTCACAATACTTACTCTTGATTGGTTTGAGAAATAGAGTACTTTGCTATCTTTATATCCCATTTTCTGAAGATTGAGTGTAAGTAGGAGGTTATACAAATCAGTGTTGGGATCTTATTAATTCTTTCATACATTCACATTTCTAGAACACGATGGGAGTTCTCTTCTGAACAGATCTAGATCTGACAAGTAGAGCTGTAGCTTAACAGGTGCTACGTTTCTCCGTCCACATACCCTTACTCCTAATGGGGAAATGCCTCAACTGTTTGTGCAACAGCACTAAAAGTAGCTTGACCTTCTGCACACTCTTTTCTTACAAGAAGACTTGTCCTACATTCCAAACCTTTAGGCGTACGACAAAAAGAGGTAAATTGTAGTGAAAAGTTACCTTTAACACAAGCATGTTTCAGTGTGTTGTTTCAGAGTTTACATGCATAATAAACATAGTCTTATGTAAAACACTAGATGCTATCCATTTATAACATTTAAGCAGCTTGTATAATGAGTGTGACATTATTACTGCAGGAACATTAAGGAAGACTCATTGACATCTGGTGAGAGTGTCGGCCAGGATATTCATGGCAATATTGATCCAGCTACCAATTGTATCAATCTTTTTCCCAATTTGTAAAATAATATTTTCTGTGGGTTTTCTTCAGATAAATAACTTTACCAATGGGATATCTCCGTGATGTTTTCCGTTTTCAATGGAATAAAGATATAAAAATTCTAAAAAGGACATGAGACTGTTATTACAGATCCAAAGCATGTCATAGTAACTTTATTATATATATAGTGCTTAAATTTAAGCTTTGCAGATTTAGCTTAAAGTCTGACATTCCATTTTAATTTGTGAAGATGACATATTAAAAGAGTGACTTGGATCAAACTCATTCTGTGTAAATTTAAAATTTGAAAATGTACTGTATCAAACCTTTTCTAATTATTGGTAGTCTTGAGCTCTTTTTGAAGTAATATATCAGTTCTGAAATACAGGCTGATGCAATTTCAAGTGTAAGTTCTTAATATGCGACAGTGTTAGTTATTTTGATAGCAGCCTGTGAGGGAGTGTGGGGCAGGGAAGAACTTCTTTACAGTAAATCAAGGCATTCATTCCGTAATGTCTACCCTGACAACCAGCAGGTTTTCAATGGTTTAATGACACCTATATTTGCAAAGCATTGTATTCTGTCACAAATTTGTGACACCTTCATTATTTTAATGAAAATTGTGAAGTACATCCATATGAGTGATAAATTACCCATTTTTAAAGACAGTACTATGATGTAAAAGATATGTTCCACATCATGAAAGCTAAGGGATTCAGTACTGTAGTGACCACATGCTAAAGTCACAAATGATACGGGAACTGGTTGCCTCATCAATCTGATATAAACTTTAGCTGATTTCAGTCAGTCATGTGTGTTTTAAAATTGGTAATCTTTCCTGTTGTCTTTCAGATTATAAACTGTACTATCTGATTTATTTCATTAGTGGATAGTTTTATAAGGTACAGGCACAGTATGTCTGTCTCCTGGATGATGGAACACACACGCGTGCATGCACACATGCTGGGGAAAGAGTCCAGGAGCAGTCCTGGAACTTGATACTGAGGAAGAATTTAACAACATTCATTAGCTGTTGTATTTCCTCTATCCCCTTGGAAGAATGGGTTGGTTTGAGAGGTTTATTAAGTGGATTGAAATTTGGGTAATTTCTCAAACAATGGATTTGTCTTAGTGGATTTACTGTCCTTTGTCTTCACTTCTGTTTGTGTATCAGAGCTAAGGAGGGAATCAGGGTGTAAAGAGAGGTGATGCAGTTATAAGGTGTATCTAAGGTGATACAGTTTGCAGGTAAGAAATCAAAAGCCTTGCTGGATCAGTCCAAGAGTCCATCTAGTCCAGCACTCTTTTCACAGAAAGTGACCAAGCAGCTGCCCATGGAAATTCCACAAGCAAGACTCGAGTGCAACAACCCTGTTTTGCCCATGCTTGCTGGCAACTAGTATACTTAGGCATACTGATGCTGGTTGTAGTCCTGTTCAGGAGTTAAGGTACCTCAGCATGGGAGTGGAGAGGGGATTGTACCAAGTAGCTCTCTCCAGCATCATGCAGCCCCTCCAATTGATGTCAGTTCATACAAAAGGAATATCTACAGCGAGTTGGGTTTCATTCATACAGCTGTACATGCAAAGGCTTCCATAAGTTCTTGATAGCACAGAGTTCTCATTTGCATGAAAGCCTCTGCAAGTACAGCATTACATGCAAAGTCCTCTTCCTAAAGATGTTTGTGTTGTGCACATGTCATGTTTGGAAGAGACTGTGTGATGTACAGATGACTTTGTGGGCAAACCTAGCTGGACTATGCCTATCCTTACTTATATTTTTAACCACTTTATGTAGTATCTGAATAGGCTTTTGAGCCAACTTTCTATTATCTATACATGAATTGTTGAAAAGTATCAGACTTTGGATCTTTGTCTGACTACTTGATCAATGGGATAAATCCAGAATTACTTCAATCAGGAATTGTCTGTTTGCCTGTAGAAATGATTGACTGTTCAGTGAGCTCATGATAAATATTAAAACTTATTTTAAGTATCAAAACAACTTAAGAAAATTCCATTGGTTGATAATGACATGAAGTTACTTGAAATAACCTTGGACTGTAAATATTGGCAATTATTTTCCTCTTTTGCTTAAAATTGACATAATGATGCAATTCGGTGGCCTCCCAACATTGTTTGGAACACCATAGATTATTTCGAGCTTGAGCTCTGAGGTGCTGTGACCTTGGAGCCAAGCAGTTATCCTGTTCCCCTTTCAGCCACACAGAAAGAACAGCATAGGTTGCAGGAGTGAATGCAAGAGGAAAATGGGTAGGCTTCAGTCACATGCTGAATGAGGAAAACTGCATAGGCTGCAAGAGGAAACTGGACATGCCAGGAGGGAGACTGGCTGAAGGTACATCCAAGTGGCACCTCAGTGTCCTTCCCCTCCACCTCACAGTATTTTATCTAGATGACACAAAACTGCTGACCTGATGAAGTGTAGGATGCAAGTTGAGGGAACAGTAGAAATTGCTGCCACTGCTGCTCTCACCATCTACTGGGATGCATATAAGCTTCCTGAATTCAGAGTTTTAAGTGCATTGAGAACATGGATTATGCCCAAAAATGAAATACTGAATTTTGTTTTATTAATTTTTATTAGAAGTCTGTGTGCTCATGTAAATTGCAATTTTCTGGGTTCCTGCAATTTTCTGTGGGATAACAAAATGACCACTTACTTCATTGTCAAAATTAAAATGAGTTGGAATGGTGATTTTGGCTTTCTTAACCAAAGCAAGGTTCATTCAACGTTTTACATTTACAAAGCTCTTAAATGGCACCAGTCAAACAAACAAAGGCAGCTTTGTCATCTATTAAAAATAGCATAGGCTGCAACTGGCAGCATTGTCTACATGTGGGGTTGGGGAGATTCCTTGCAACCAGTTAATTCTAGACCATATCCATGTTAAATGGGCACATTTTCACTTGTACATTCTCACTTTGCCTTTTTTTGGAGTGTCCCTTGGGTTCTGTGAGGGGGACTGCAGGGATATGGAGGAATTCATTCCACTAACACTGCCACTTCTGCCTTTAAATTGGAAGTTGGAAATTAAATTATGTTTGAAAAAACCATGTGTAAGAGAACTGTAGAAGAAACTGAGCTAGATCAGTCTTTCCCAACTCTGTACCCTTGAAATATTTTAGGCAGTAATCCCCTAGCAGGACCATAGTGGCTGGGGCTGATGAGAGCTGAAATCCAAAATATGTGAAGAGCATCATGTTGGGAAGACTGGCCTGCATATGTACCACAACTCATTTGATTTTACTGCAACTTGATATTCAAGGGGAGGGTGGGGAAATACCTTAATGGAAAATCTCTATTATGGCTGTGTCTCATTTATTGAATTCCTAACAGTTTTTATTATATTTTCAGATCTCTGCTAATAAATGGCAAAACTGTTTCTAAATTTGATTACCTACTACCTCTGGACCAGATGCCTTTTAATTTTCAGTTGAATTCATGGTTGTTAGTTTCTTGACAGTGATCCAAACCTTATTGAACATTTTACTTCCTCTATATCATTAGGTAATGAAAGCAATCACTCTTTAAGCCTAAGTGGAGCTCAGAATTAATAACAATCTGACTGTTGGTTTTCTAGGGTTCTTGTTATGTTAGAGTCTCCTAACTCAAATTGCTAAAGATGCAATGTAAAGAAGCAGGTCTGGCTTACTTTATTCACATATTGCTGTCCCAGGTAAATTTTTGTTGGAAGTCATTTCCTTCCAAAGTCATTCTTTGGTATTCTCAAAATGTGTAGATGCTGATTGACATTCATTCATTCATTCATTCATTCATTCATTCATTCATTATTTGGAACACTTATATGCCGCCCCATTCGCAAAAGCCTTGGGGCAGCTTCCAGTACAAATAAATAACTATACAAATACATAAAAATCTGGAGACATCACGGCATAAATATAAAATCAATAAATAAATTCAACAATTAAAATAACGTTTAAATAAAAAGGTCTTGGCCTGGCACCGAAAAACAAATAACGACAGCGCCAGGCGGACCTCTCGGGAGTGCATTCCATAAATGGGGCACCACCGCAGAGAAGGCCCTCCTCCGGGTACTCACCCTCCTAATATCTTTCACGGAGGGTTCCCGGAGAAGGGCCTCTGCCGCTGATCTCAAGGGGAAGGAGGGCAGGTATGGACGCAAGCGCTCCTTTAGATAACCAGGTCCCAAGCCGTTAAGGGCTTTATAGGTGATAACCAGCACCTTGAATTGGGCCCAGACTTCAGTGGGGAGCCAGTGAAGCTAACGGAGGACTGGGGTTGTATGAGAACAACGCCCAGTCCCCGTCAGCAACCTGGCAGCTCTAGTTTGCACCATCTGAAGTATCTGGACCGTCTTCAAGGGCAGCCCCACGTAGAGTGTGTTACAGAAGTCTAACAGGGAAGTTACCAGTGCATGTGTCACTGTCGCCAGGCAGTCGTCCTCCAGGTAGGGGAGCAGCTGATGGATCAGCCGAAGCTGAAGGAAAGCGCTCCTTGCCACCACCGTCACCGGAGCTTCTAACGACAGCTCTGGGTCAAGGAGCACTCCCAAGCTGCAGACCTTGTGCCTAAGAGGGAGTGCAACCCCGTTCAGGACAAGGTCCAGGTCCCCTACCCTGAAGCCTGAACCGCCTTCCAACAGGACCTCCATCTTGTCTGGATTGAGCTTCAGTTTATTGGCCCTCATCCAGCCCATTGCCTCGGCCAGGCACCGGTTCAGTACAGCCACTGCCTCACCTGGATTGGTTGAAAAAGAGAGGTAGAGCTGGTTATCATCAGCGTACTGATGATTCCGCAGCCCACACCTCCTGATGACCTTTCCCAGCAGTTGCATGTAGATGTTAAATAGCAGCTTTTAACAAGCTTGCTTCTGAAGCACTGACTTACACCTAGTACTATGAGTTTGGAAAACCAAGGAACTACAAATATATCCATCCAAATCTGGTAGAATAGTCATTTTGGTTTTTAGGGGGCAGCTTGTTTATAAAAGACTAGAAATACTTGAAGGTGTACCATTTTGGACATAAACTTGGACTTTAGCAAAGATTTTGGCATAGTGCCCCATGACATTCCGATCAAATTAGCAAAAAGTGGACTAGATACAAAAACTATTTGGTGGATC